CTCGTACGCGTTATAAATATCCGCTCCGATCGCTGATTCCCGCACTTTCTCTTTTTTTCCTTCTCTAACGTTTTCCACTTTTGTTATATAAGACCTATATCTTAATGCCGATCTATTCGGCGTAGGCCCCTTACAAAATAGATGAAAATAATTTATACTATACATTGACTTATATTATCTTTCTCTAAAATCTTTTCAACTTCATCTATACTTGAAAGAGATAAGAGACAGAGACAGGCATTGATGTGATATAAAATAGAAAAATAGTAAAAGTGAGAGAGAAGCAGTGATGATGATCTTAAGAGATAAGTAATTAAAATCAAAACAGACACTTTCAATAGAGTTTCTGTTTGTCTGTGAAGAATCACTGATGAGTATGCAAAAATAAAATGAACTCAAATAAAAATAGTTGAATATATATTTATAGATGAGTGTCAAAAAAAATACAAGGCAAGTTTATATTTTCAGCCCTCAGCGTGCTTCATTTCCACTTGCGGTTCAAAGGGTAATAACAGTGAAGGCAGACGAGGAAAGAGAAAGAAAAATAAAATAAAATAAAATAAAAAATAAAGCCAAGGTGACTAGCTACGCGGACCGGGCCGCAAAGTTGGCACCCCTGCAGATACGTGTGAATGTGTAGGCAGCGGTATAAAACAAAATATGAGAGGGAATATAATTAGTATATAAAATATATGCAGTAGAAGCAAAATATGTATAGACAAAAGAAAAAAGAAAAAACAGGCAGTAAGTCATGGGTCAGAAGAAAGGAAATGAAAAGGAAAAGGAGAGAAAAGGAGGAAATAGGCGAAGTGTAAATATAAAAAGAGGTAATAAAATATAATATATCGGATTTGATAACCGGCGGGATTGGGAAGAAGTGTGGTTAAAAGAAAAGAAAAGAAATGGAGGAAATAAGACAAGGAGGAAATAGTCACACGCGGAAAAGGAAAAGGAAAACGAGTAATTAGAAGTAAATATGATATTTGGGGTATCTTTCAAGAGTCGTTATGAACGTTAGTTGCAGCAGTGGATTTCTTGCGCCCGAAAATGCTCCGAGTGCGTGATTTGGTGGGTAGCGGCTTCTTGTCCTGGCCAGGTGCAGCGGAGTTGAGGCTCGGCGTCGGTAGCATCGTGTCATCGCCTGACATATATTTGGGTTTGTAAATCCTAAAAACCTATATGTTAGCCCATTATTGATTTTATCTAAAGAGAGGCAGATGCGTAAAGAGAATAGAAGAAGGATCAACAGAACGTACCAACTGTTCCCAACCATGCTCATCCCCTTGCTTTCCGCCATTCGGTAGTATTTAGCCGCTTTTTTCAGGTCCTTTTTGCAGCCCAGACCCTCCACATAACAAAAGCCAGCTTCTGCAAGAGCATCCACATCTCCCCAGTGGCCTGCTATTTCGAAGCAGCGCAGAGCCAGCGCCTTGTCTTGCTCTATCCCCCAGCCATTCAGGTGGCTAACGCCCAACTCATAAATGCTTAGTGCAAATTGCGCCTGGCGGGCTTTGTCCTCTTGGATATTTCTCCCGTGTGGTTCAGAGCTGTTAGCTTCTAGAATGGCAGAATCGGCAGCTTTACGGAGCCACTGAACGCCTTCTCGCTGGTTGGGCCGCATGCCCCATCCATGGCGACAGGCGAGAGCGTATAAAAGCATACCCGTTGGCTCATTTTGCATGGCTGCGATTCGAAGGTGATAGGTGGACTCGTTTAGGGAACCGTTTTCATGACATTTTATGCCTTTTGCAACATGATCTTCAGCGGATAGGGTAGTGGCTGGTGGAGGTCCGACACTACGGCTAGTGTGGGGTCGAAGTGTGGCATTGGAGTCCGTGGATATCGTTAGGGTGTCATCTTGGGCTTCCGATTTGGGGGCGATAGAAAGTCTACTACTCGAGTTAGATTTTGCCAGGGCCAGAGTTTTTCGGGTTCCTTGATCAAAGGAGTGTCTTTTTGGAGGTGTTCGATCAGGCCGTTTAACAAGCTTGCCTGGTTTCCGTGGAGCGTATTCATGTTTCAGTGAGGCCGTACTTTTCAACTTTCGTTCCGACTCCGTTGGTGTCTTCGGTTTTAACGGCGATTCCTGCTTCGGCGGTGCTTCAGTAGCAGGAGGGTGAGCATGGGTTGCGGAAGGTGACGGAGGAGTCTGCTCGAATGTCTCTCTCCCAGCCGCGCTTGGGGGTGGGGAGCTTTCGAAAAGTGGCTCATTCCACTCGAAATGTGGAGTTTGAAGGCCAGTAAACACGAGAGAATTACGTGAAAGAGATCTCCCCCGGGGAAGAGCATACTTCGCATAGATGTAAGTGGTTGGCGCCGAAGTTTGAGCATCGTCAGCTGGAGAATCAGACAACTTTGGCACAGTAATTGGAGATGGGCGATTCCCCCGGTTCATAGTCCGGGATTGATATTCATCTAGTTGTTCATGCCCGGAAAGTGAAGGGGATGGCATTGAAATGGTAGTGCTAGATCTACTCAATGGCCGTGAAAAGTTGAAGGAAGGACGTTGAAGTGGGTTTGGTATGGGGGAATTTTCGGAAGCTGAAGAAGGCGATTGGGGATGGGGTCGGGTAAAATGTGTCACGGGAGACTGAGGCATGGACATTCCGCTGCTTGAAGACAGCTTTCTTGGTTTTGAGTAGGTTGACCCTGCTGTTGAACTGGTGAAGTAGTCGTCGTCTGAGCTCTCGTGCTGTGGCAGTCCAGGGCTCCCTGCTGACCGTTTAGCAGAGGAACTTGGAGGTGCAAGGTTATTCGAAACATTTCGTTTCGCAGCGGAACTCTCAGCTGCTTCCCGGGTCCGGGTCGCTGATGGGATATCATAAGGATCTGGGGATGGCTTTGTTGGGAGTTCTTGTTCGGTCTCTCCATCTGAGTGGAACCACGATGCGTCCTCGGGTGATTCTGCACGGGGGGGATCCCCAAAAGCGCTGGCTGGGATTGGCGGAACGTCTGGGGCCGCTGCTGTGGTATTGCGTTCGTGGTCACTGTCCGGATCTGAAGCCAGATTCTGGCCTGGTAGTCGACTCAGCATCGGATGCTGCGACTTTGGCCTCACTGCAGGCTCCTCCACTTCTCCATTGCGACCATGACTCCTGCCTTCTGGACTGACAGGTGTCGTATTACTCGACTCGCCGGAGGAATGTGCTCGGTAGTAACCCGGTCTTGGTTGGGATAAGGATCTGGCAACGCTTGCGGGGGGCAACCGGCTCATGCGCCTTCCGCTTTTTTTCGACTCATCGAGCTGTTTGGCCAAAAGCCGTCCCTGCAAGGCAAATGCATCGAGAGGCGACAAGACAGGAGTGAGTTCTCCGTGAAAATGGGCGATGCGGGGAGATGGAGTCAGATTTCGCGATCGCGGTTTTTCCAGCTGCTGCAATGGGGAATCAGATGGGCTATTGCTAGCCATGGCTGGTTAACGAGCGTCTATGTCAAAGGATTGAATAATAATCGGAAAGGTAGAAGTGGTTTGTATTAAACCATAGATCAGTCAACGAAAATCTGCGTGGCTAAGGAGAGTCGAGGTGAAGTTGTTGTAAAGAGGGAGGCGCCAAAAAGCGAGATTTAGGGGCATGTGGTTGGTTGATCCTCGACTTCAACCACATTAGGTCACTGGAGATGATTCTGCTGTGGCACCATCTGGAGAAACAGGTTTATTGGTGGGAGAGATAATTCTATATATATATACGGAAGAAAGACAGTCTCTTCGATGGGGTTTGGGCGAATGCCGGGCCAGTTGGATGTTGGTTGGTGGGTTGGTCTTTTTGAAAGGGCGGACGATGGATCGCGCCGCGAGCTAAAATAACAGAGAACGGAAGCCTCCCGCAAGTGAGCTACGAGATACCGGCTGTGGAGATGTACCACAAGTACAGGTGCAGCGGCCAGTGACTTATAACTCTAAAATGCAGTCTGAAATGCAAAGTCGACGATGGGTGAGGGGGTTTGGATGAAGTTGGGGATAGACCGGATCAGGATGAAGACGACGACGAAGGTTGAGGCGAGGTTATTTAGTTAACTAGCCAGAAGGTCGCAAAGCGCCCGTGTTGTCCGGTCTCGAATTGACCAAATTACAGCGTAATCAATCAAACCAACCAACCAACCAACCAACCAAACATCTGAATCACAATCGGAGAATCAGGGGCCCAGCCGGATGGATGCATTCTTATTTTATTATTTTTATTTATTATTCAGGAAGTAAAGTTAAAGCAAATATTTTTGGTGTTTATTTTCTATCTGTTATGGAGTTAGCTTAGTTAGTTTTGTTTTATTGTTTGTTTGTTTGTTTGTTTGATGATTTTGTCTTGTCTGGCCGCCAAAAAATAAAATTAAAATAAAATAAAATAATAAAATAATAATTCCCGTGTCTTTTCTGGCGGTGGAGCACAGGGTTAACTATGTCAGACCACTTTTTGTCCGCTTTTATTTTTTTTCCCAACTTTTTCTTCACAGTTCAGCAAATAACCACCGCGAGTGGGCGGCGATGGTCGTTCAAAGTATGATCTTCACTCTTGTACTCCGTACTCTGTACAGAGTAACTTGCTAGTGGAAACTGGGACGGACGACTTGGAATGTTGAAACACCAACATGGCCGGGTCGGGAAATATCAACAAATAAAAAAGAACACACTGCCATGACATTTCCCAACCCCTCGACAGCCACTGTGTTTCTTCTCGAGAGCAAGGTTCAGTGAGACCTTGCCCGCACCCTTGAAAAAAGAATTTCCCTTTTGCTGGAAGTGAAAATAATCAATAAACTATTAAGTATATAACAATAACCCCAAGATGGCAGATAGATACTCCTCAGTCATTGGCTTCCCTTCCCTGGTCTCTATCAACAATCCCTCCCAACCTCCAACAACTGCCTCAGCCGCCGCAGCATCACTGGATTGTTGTTCTTGAATGATGCCGGCGGTGACTAAACTACACGCCTTGGGGTAAGTTAGGCAGTTACTTTTATGTTGGTGGTTGTCAGAAATGAAAGGTTAATTATTATTGCAATTCCTGATAAAAGTACCCAACATATATATCTCCAGTTCCCCGCACGCAACTATCTGGGTACATTTGGACTGAGTCTTTGCATATGGATGTGCTCAACATATGCTGCTTTTCAATCTTGCAGAAGGGGTTGTCTGCAGGTACAGTGCAGTACAACGACAAATGACAAACGAGCTCTGTTAATTTTCCGAGAAGTTTAAATAAATGCTGTGTGCATCGGGCGCCATGCATGCGTACATCACTACGTCACACGTTCTTCAGCAGAACAAGTGCAACGAAGCTATATACACATGTTCCGACGCTCCAGGACCAATATCCTTGAATGTCTGTGTCTGAAAACCAAGACAATTTATTGAATACTAGCTATTGTGTCGAGCAAGAGAGAAATCCTCTTCATCATATGAGCGTGCGGCCCATACAACCTCTATTTCTTTCAGGACAATACCCTCGCTCTCAAGTGTTAGAGCGAGATACACCAACGATGTTTAAATGCGCGCGTTTGTCCACCTGCATGTATGCATCTACAGAAGTACCTAGCACATATTTTCCCCCCAAGTCATTTCGTTTTTTGCTCTTCCCTTAACTCACCATACGGCAACAATTTCATATTCCCCTCAACCCACGCCAAATTCGCTACAAGCTTCGTGATCCGCCACGGATTCCCTGCCCCTGAATCTCGGGATGATACCCGCTTCAATTCAAGGTCATATCGGCCCTGGTATGGGAGGGGAAAAAAAAGAGAGCATATGTCAGTGGCCGCGGCTCCGAAACAAAAATAAAGCTAGCGAAGAAAATAAAAATAGAAAAGAGGCAGTTTAAATAGAAACTGATTCGCCCCCAGGTACTCACCCCGTTGGAGACAAGTGGTCCACCATCAGCATCTTTCTTGACCAGCGTCACGGCACCGTTGCAAGTGGCAAAGGCCGTTCGGGGTTCAACCGTTTCTGTTCCTGGTTGGGGAAGGGTGATGAGTATAGCACTGCGATATAGACAAAAAATGACAACATCCAAGTGCAATGTCGTTAGCAAGGAGTATAAATATCTAGATCGCCCATATCGCCCATATCTCCCTCCCCCCGCCCTCACTCATGCTTTTACATTTCTTGAAAATAAACAAAACAAAAAAATATAAAAACGCGCGCACCTTGGAATATGCTGCGCCGCATCCACCTTATCCATGAGCTGTTTCCAATTCGTGGCTATCTCCCTCGCCGTCGTCTGCGTCGGTTCGACGCCGAAACATTTCGAATAGTCGATGATGAGATCGGTTGGGATGAACACTTCGTCGGCGAGCTTGTCCCATTGACGTGTGTCGACGTAATAACTCTGTTTTTTTTTTCTCATGTTCGGGGTTTATATTTTATTAGCCCTTGGCCTATATGAGCATGGCGAGTGTTCATTCTAGCTTGCTCTCTCTCTCTCTCTCTCTCTCTCTCTCTCTGTCTCTCTCTCTCTCTCTCTCTCTCTTTCTGTCTCTCTCTCTCTTTCTTTATTTTTTCTCTCTTTCATAATAATCCGCCGCGCTCTGCTGGCTCTCGGGTGGGTTCACTTACCATCTTCGTGATGACATCGTGGATATTTGCCCTATCTAGGAGATAGTCGACGGCCGGATAGTTGGCCATGGCTTTGTCTTTCTTTCTTTTCCCTGTAGAGTAGCTGATGTCGAAATAGTCCTTCTGCAGACTCCAAAACGTAATTCTTTACGATATGTTTGTTCATTTAGGGGCGGAACCTACGGCGATTTTTATATGGAACAAAGATCTCACCTGGGACCTGGACCCTGACATTTACGATGTACGTGTATATCTGTGGTTTACTTCACAAGCCGCAGCTATCTCCTTTAGAAACCCTATCCACGTCCTGCTTTTCAATTTCAAAGTAATCACCATCAACAGTAGTTAAAATACCGGAATGATTATCTCTCCGCGTTAAACCCGTGCATGTTGGATATTAAGTTCTTAACTTCTTTAAGTCCAGGGAATGTTGGCATCGTCCTTTTTTTTCGGATTTGAAAGAGCTCGGATTTAAGGGGGTTTGGCGCCGGATTTTAGCGAGACTTGAAAAAAAACGCAATCCAAGCTCACAAATTCTCTTTTTTTTTTACACAAATACTCGTGTTGTTAGGACTATTAGGAGCTATAATAGAGGTTTGACAGGGTGGGTTGCTTTGATGATAGAGTTGCATACATTGTGCCATCGTAATTGGGCTGCGTGGGTCAATTAGGGGTGTGACGTACATGTACATATCGCGCAAGCATAAATACTATCAGATGCCCAGGTCGTTTTGAGAAGTTTAAACATCAGGCTAACCGGCAGCAGCACGAGAACCATTGAGCCCAATGACCCCGTCATAGCCGTTGCAAATTAAAGAATAAGAGCACCAACAAGCGGGGAGTCTACCAGCTACTCGTGCGTACAGCGTCACCATCCCCCTAGAACCTACATCATAGGTCTGAAAAACCCATACAAAAAACAATTTATATATAGATATATATATCATAGACCAAAAATCAATATAACATGACAATCCTCCTCCTCGGCGGACGCGGCAAAACCACCCGTCGCCTCGCCTCCATCCTCTCCACCTGCGCCCCAGAGGTCCCTTTCCTTGTCGCATCCCGCACCAGCTCCCCATCAAGCCCGTACAAACATGTCAAGTTCGACTGGTTCGATGAATCTACCTGGGCACAGCCGTTTAATGCGGTCTCGACATCAGCATCAGCATCAGCAGTCAGGACCGAATTCCAATACAGTTCCAGCCCCATCACGGGAGTATACATCGTCGGCCCGCCCATTCTGGACATGGTCCCACTGATGAAAAGGTTCATCGATTTCGCAAGGGGGAGGGGGGTGAGAAGATTTGTGTTGCTTAGTTCTAGCGTGCTTGAAAGGGGTGGGTTTGCGATGGGGCAGGTGCATGATTATTTGGCCGGTCTAGAGGAGAATGGAGTAAAGGAGGCGGAGGCGGAGGCGGAGGCGGAGGGCGGAATTGAGTGGGCAGCTCTGCGCCCGAGTTGGTTTATGGGTATGCAATTATCATATGCCCAATATTTGGAGATATATCCGACTGAACTGACCGGCATATGATATTATAACAGAAAACTTCTCAGAAGGCCAACATCTCCTATCTATCAAGGAGGAGAGCAAGATCTATTCCGCAACGGGGGAGGGGAGAGTCCCATTCGTCTCCGCAGAGGACATTGCACGAGTTGCGTTCCGCGCCTTAACGGATGCCCGTCCGCATAACACTGAACATCTCATCCTGGGCCCAGAGCTGTTGTCCTACGATGACTTGGCAGATATCCTGTCTTCCGTGCTCGGTAGGACGATCGCTCATGTTAAGCTTTCTGAAGCTGAATTGGCAGCCAGGATGGAATCAACTCTTGGGATACCGCAGGATTATGCGCAGATGTTGGCGGTTCTAGAGACAAATATTAAAAATGGGGAGGAGGATCGGATGAATGATGATGTTGAAAAAGTGACTGGGAAGGGCCCACGGAGGTTTAGGGACTTTTCTGAGGCGAGTTCAGGATGCTGGGTAAAAGACTCCTGAGGACATGTACATGTATCAATCTGGGACGGCCACTTTATGTAACTTCATCTGTATGGGGATGGCTGCGCAAGTAACAAAACATTATATGCGTTATGCAGAGCAAAGAAGGTTAATTCAACAAACCAGGGTTAGCTGGAGTTGTCCCTCGTTTATCCACGGTCGATTTGCTCCCAGGGTAGTTTTCTTTTAGTTTTTCCGCTGATATATTTGGCTTTCCGCTAACTTATTTGGCCCTAGTTGGTTCGTAGATATAGTTAATGATCATTTCTCGGAGATTCCGCAGCTTCGTCTTGTTAATTTCAAGGTGATCGTGTGAGCATTGTCGCCGTGCGTATGTTAACCACTCGGCCAACAAGACCAAAATAACAAGCTGCCCGAACACTTCTGCTTCCAGGTGACCCCAGGGGGTGGCTTATCATGTCCCTACGCAGTAGAAGACAAGTTAAAGGTCCAAGGATTTAGGCACGATACGATACTCTGTCCATTCGAAAATATCACTCTAGATTCTGCCCAGCAAGACTCAGGCTCGAAGATGATTGAATCCGCCTCGCTTGTGTCTGTGCCTACAATAATGTAACTAACTACACAGGTTCAGGTTAGAGGTCAAAATATCAAAATAGCATTTCTCAACAGGTTAGAGGTTCCTCCCCTCCCGCTATTAGCGTGCGGGGGGCTTAGCTCGTAACTTATAACTAACAATGCCAACTGCTCCGTAACTAGTTAGTTAACCCAGCTAGCAACAGCACTGACTGCATTGACAGGATTTTGAAGCCATATTTAAATATCGTACCAACCGTACCGTACCACAGCGATTTGATTGACAAAGCCCAATTGCCTCAACTTTGGGCCCCCGCTACCCCGTGGTTTAGACTTTTATTCTAACAAACTCAGTCCCATGATTTGCACTTTTAAGTTTCCCGCGCCGCACTGTATAAGTTATATAGTTTTTTCGGAGAGTTTACAACGGATTTTCAGTTTCCATGGTTCACCCGGCATCATGAGTCTGTTGAGAAGTGCCCAGCGCCATCTATTATAAGCCCGTATCATGCCGTGAATCCGTCATCCTCCGGTCGTTTGCGATCTCGTTTCTATATAAACTCGCCACGTAGTCGTAGTTGCTGCACCCGCACGGTTTAAGCCCAACGCTAGACTTACTGGAACTCGAGGGAAAGATCTAGATCTAGATCTAGATATATATATCTATATCTATATCTATATACACAGATACAACGGCTTTTGGCGCCCAGAATGCCGTCCATGAACGTTCTCATGGGGGCAGACCCCGCGAATGACCCACTCCACCACTTCGAAACTTCCTGGCTATTCTACCCACTCGTCTTCGGCATCCTACGCCTGACTATCTTCTTCTACTGCATCTTAACCGCCGTCATTTCATTCGCGGTGGAGGGCGCTAGCGGCCACGCGATCGATGATGCGCGATCCTTCAGCTATTTCACCTCCCTCTCCTTCCTAGGAGTTTTGGTATACTTCCTCGTTGCCGGCATCCATACGGTCCTTTATGCGCGCCAGGGACGATCCGTGCTGTTCGACAAGTGGCCCCGATGGCTGCGTGCCTTGCACAGCCTGCTATATACCACCATTGTGTGCTACCCGTTCGTGGTCGTGGCGATATATTGGTCTCTGCTGTATAAGGCAGGCTCAGTGCAGTCCCAACTCGGGGTGTGGGGAAATGTTAGTCCCATGTTCCCCCTTGCCCCTTACCCCCTTGCCCCACATCCCCGCCCCAGTCTATCTTTTTGTATTCATATATATATACTAGATATAATGCTGACAGGATATCTCTCCCCCTCCCCCAAATCCCAGATCTCCAAACACGTCCTACCAGCCATCTTCGCCGTGTTCGAAATCGTCTTCTCAACAGCACCTCCACCACCCCTCCTTCACTTCCCATTCCTGATCCTCCTCCTCCTCCTCTACCTAGGGGTCGCTTACATCACCCACGCCGCCGAAGGCTTCTGGGTATATCCATTCCTCAATCCCGGTCCCAACGGCAGCCGTATAGCCAATGTGGTAAAATACCTTTGTATCGTTGTTGCAGCCCTCCTTATCACCTTTGCCGTGGTCTGGGGCGCCAGTTGGGTTAGGAGGCGCCTGGTGGGCTTGAAGACGAAGTGGGCGAAGGGGGATGTTGGGGGTGGTGGGCAGGATGGTAGGGATGCTGAGATGGGCGAAAATGCCGAGGTGGTTTATGTTGAGAGGAAGTGATGGGTGTAAGCTGCGTGTTGATAGTTGCTTTTTTTCCCTTTTTTCCCCCCCTTTTTTCCCCCTAATTTATTGTATGTATTTAAGGCGGTACAGAAATTCTCTGTGGGAGGGAGTACGGGGTAAATATGGATGTATATATGCCTGTAATAATTACGTGTATTTAATTTTATATATATATATATATATATATATTCTCCGTACGGCCTGTATGCAAACTCTATAGTACTGTACATTAAGAATAAAGTCGTGAGAGGAATATTCGTTATTCAAAGAGCCACCAACACGGATTTGCAAAGGAGAAACAAGCAAGTCATTATCAAACTTTTGATAATGCATGCCCAGTGGTATCGGCAACTTTGAAACCCCAGGGCGGATGGAGAGGGTCCGTGCACTCACTACCACAAGCATCACAAATCCACCACCTCGGACCCCAAGACGACAACGCCCTCGAGCAGCCCTTGCACGCAAAATCGTCACGATACTGACTGTGCCTAAGTTTGCGTTCCATCTTGACTTTGCCGCGCTCATACCGTTGTTCCAGGCACTCAAAGATGAGAAACGGTTTGCAAGAACTACACACCAGGCGTTCGTTTTCGATACTATCGGGACTGAATCGGCCTCTTGAACCGTGATATTTACCTGCGAGTGTAATTTGCCGATCACAGCTCCTGCTGTTGAACCGTGGACGGGTGCAGATCTTTCTGAAGAAGCAGGTGGAACAATAGGGCTTGCAGGTTTCTTCATGGAGCAGGTCGAGTTGGGGTCGGGAAAAGCGCCTCACGTCTCCGCATGACTAGATTATGAGAGTGTGTTGTTAGATATGCCCAGATGAAAATGGTTGTGGGGTGATATTGGAAAAATTGAGTAGCGATGAGGAGGTACGGGAAAACGGGGCGCGAAATAATAGAAGGGCAGGGGATTTGGGCATACCCCGCATATTGGAAACTGGCATACAAAGCACCCAGTTTTTGTAGCGTTATCACAAGCATATATCCTAAGTATGCCTAGCCTGCCGCTAGAATGGCCATCTGGGAAAACCGTCTCGCGCATTTCCTTTGATGACAGGCTCAAGTTTACCAGGTCTTGATAATGCAAGTGTTGGGCGACAAGGGTCAGTATGTCAAGATGTAGAAACCTTGCCAGTGGAGCGCTTTCGCTTTTGGCTTTGGCCTGAACCATCATAGGCGCTGGAGGGGGCTGGTAGCGTTTGAAAAATGGAAACGATATAGGGTATTTCTGTAGCCGGTCCTGAATGGGTATAGCGACAAATTGGCTCATTTTGTTCATGTAGCGAGCACTAAATCGGCATCGTGAGAGTACGGAATTGGGCAACAAATCCAGTGCACTCCAGAAAGCCAGAAAGAGGGTTCCGCCGAAGCTATATGCCATGAAGAAGATAACTTTAATTGCGGAAAGGACAAAGGCCTCTTTTCGTTTCCTTTCGGGGGTCATACGCGATCGAACGCCAACAATTGAAAGAGCAAAGCTAACAATGATGTTGAAGAATGACACTAGAATATATATGACCCTATGTTCAAATTAATAACTGGAAAGCAAAAGACAATGGATATGTGTAAGTCAAACACTTTGACGGGGTGCAGGTGTATGTACATGTACATACAGAGATCCAATCCCAAACCTCCATTGGGATACAAAGTCCTTACAGATTTTATCAGATGGTACATTCATGTCAGGATCGTCCGGATAGGTATGAAGAGTTTCAAGAACGTGGAAGTAACTTTCGTTGCCGTTCATGGGAACCTGCCAGGTTTCTGCGATTCTGCAGGGCCCCAGGGAATGGGGAATATAGGTCGCCTGGCGCACCGTGGCGATAGCAAAGTAGACCATGATAACAGCATCAAACAGGCCGATTAATGTGACATAAAGGCTCGGAGCGAGCATGGTCGGTATCCACATGGCAAAGTTCCACCAGAATCCGATTTTGCTCTATACCAGAAAGGGGAGGGAGGGTCATAGAATTAGAAAGATAGTATCTACGGACAAAGCTGGCGCAAAATAAAACGGAAGAAGCAAGGAGAAGAGGAAAGTGGCAAGAAATATGGCACGAACCCATTTTGAAGCAAGATGGCTCAGGTAAAATGTATTTGGGTGGAAAGGCGGTTGCTGAACAATCGCAGCATGGTCCTTGACATAATTATAAGCAGTTGATGCCAATGACGTGTAGATACCCAATACTACATGTCCAGCGAATCGAAGGACGCCGGAGGGGATACCAGTGCCAACCACAAAGGCTCCATCATAATCAACCAGCATCGTCTTGAGTTCAACTTGAATAACAAAAATTTAAAGTCTTGAAGTATTCTTATCAAACTGACAGCGAAGCGCGGATGCAGGAGGTTCGCATGATGAGAGAATAGAAGTCAAGTATAAAGAGAAAAAAGCACAAACGGTGCAACAGGCGGGTGATAAATGGAGCGCAAGATAAAGCATGGTGAGACACGATGGCCTTATATTCTCTCCAACAATCAACGCTTGAGGAATTTTTCGCGATTCGTATTGCCTGCGGGAATCTGCCTCCAGCAGTTGGGAAACAGCCGAACGAGGCTCTGTAAAGCCGCTGCGGATGGGTCGACGCTGGGGTTAAAAGAAGCCCACTTGGCGCTCTCCAGTCCCGGCACAGCCCTCCCGTTAGCGGACTCTCAACTGCCACGGATCGAGTCCCTTTTTTACTATTATTATTGCCAAGGGATTCATGCGATTCATGCGATTCATGCGGCGATTGTCACTTGTTGGCAACCCAACCTGCAAGGCTGCCGAAGATGTGCCGTGTCGTGTTTGGAATTATATGCACAACGTCGGGATGTGATGTCATCAGGGTGTTTTGCCAATGTGTTGGCGCTTTTTATCCTCGAGATATATCCAGAGTAGTTATATAATCCATGGATGATATTTCAAGTCAAACATTCTGACTCATATATTCTGTGCTTTTGTGCATCATGTGAGCTTAAGAAAGCCAACCTTGGAAGGGAAGCGGTCACTCGCGTCTGCAAGGACAGGGACCTGTTGAACGTCGGTTGGGCAGAGTTGAGATAGCACTCACACCACACACGTCACACACATGCTGCAGTATGCTAGCTCCTTCAACAGCGAGCGATAATCGCCTGTAAAATATCAAATTTCATCCATCATAAGATGTGCAAGACGTTGTGGGTTGACTAGAATATGTTATCTAAATGGAGTGTGATAACTAGTCTCAACTGCCTCTGTTCCAGTGACAAATAGCGTGCTATCCTGCTTTCAGGCCGAAACTGGACATTCGTTCGATTTTGCCCGACCCAGAGGATGGCGGCTCGTAAAAGTATTTTTGCGCAAAATTCTTTGAACTTCAAATTTGAATTGGTAGATCTCAAGGCGGTAAATGTGGCGAGCCATATTATTGAGGGCTGAACAGGGTGGTTTCAATTTTTCAGCTTGGTGATCGTATCTCATTCATCTTGAGAATGTAAAGTGAGCTAGCTAACCAGGGGTTGCTGCTAATGATAAGCTTATAGGAAATAGACAAATGTTAAACCAATGCACTTTTGACAAGTTAATATAGATATGAATAGAGAAGAGATAAAATAGCCTATGAGGAAACCTGGTAACGATCATTGCAGAATTGCAAATTTGTCTGCCGAATACATGCGATGCCTCCCTCGAAACGCCGTCCATGGTATGTACATTTCCCGTAAAATAACCAAATCACAAACGAGGAGTATATGCACATTATATACGAATATATGGTTGCTTTAAGTGAGTTTCTCCCATCCCGTTTCACTGCTAGTCCCACTGCTATTGGCATCCCAATTTAGGTCTGCTAGTGGACCACTCTGTCCGGAACGGAGACCAAGCATCCATCCTACCAGTCCACTAGGAACTATATTCCCGACTATGGAGTAAATTCTGGACCCTTTACCAACATAAACAGTTGCCTGTTTCCGTTTACGCCTGCCCAGCCACGACTTGGAGGCTGGCGCGAGGGCGTCAAAGATAGCAAAATGCAGGTCTCTGGCCGGGCTACCATAAGCTGCACCAACTGATCTTCCAACTCTGGTATCGATACTGGACAGGTACGTCGATCCGTACATAGCCCGTTGCTGCGGCTGCCAGGTAAGGACCTCCGTTCCTGAATTTTGATTCTGGCCACTCCGGAACTGGCGGCCCAAATCAATATTCCCAAGTTTCAGTTCGATAACTTCGATGCCGTTGCCAGAGCTGTTGTGGGCTCGTTGTAAGAGTCGGAGTTCCTGTCGTAAGCTACTTGCAAACCCAGATAGACCTCGGGTTAATGTGACTTCGGGGGTTGCGAACGGTGCTGATAAGGAAGACTGTATCGAAGGCGAAAGCAAGACTATCGAACTGCTGTTACTCCTTAACGTAAGAAGTGGTAAGAGAAGCTGTGTTGTTAATATAGGATATAGAAGGCGAGTATTTATAGTGTCGACCCAATTTGACGCTGGAATTGTTGCGATAGGCCCTGTGGGAAATTTTGTAGGAGGTATGATTATAAGTCCGCTTAGCTGGCAAACATGTGGTGGTATTCCAGGCATCGGTGCCTGGGGTTGGGTGATTAAAGATTGAATTATGTGAAGAGAAGGATGGATTTCCGACGGCGTCGAGGGCGTCTATGTTTGGTTAATCCACATTCAACAGCATTTAAAGCCCAGGGCTATTCCTTACAGTTGTTAAGTCAAGCCACAGGGGCCGAATATCTTCCCGGCCCTCTGCTCGAACAGCACTTTCCTCTTCAGATGAAGCGACCGTAATGAAGACGATAAAGCCGCGACGTTCGAGATCGTTAGCAATAGACCTCGTCATAGGCTCGTGTGGAGAGCCCGCGATAACTATTTAAATCTTAGTACTGACCGACCGAGAAGAATTATTGCAAGCCTATCTAAGATGAATCCATACCAATGATCTCCTTACGAGCGCCATTGCCGGCTCTTCGCGCCTTTCTTTTCTTGGTGCTGAGCGTTTTGCTTCCATAGACCAGGAGAGCTCCAGTTCCAACAAATGCGACGATGGCTGCTGTCCAGGCGCGGTTTCTTGATACCCAGGTCTGAGCCCGATCTAGTATGGATTGTGGAGGGGGTGAAACCATTCGTTTCGCTGCTGATTTTCCAAGAGGCTTAACTGCCGGCGGCAGCCATGACTGGCGAGCCAACACATCTCGGACAGTTACTGCAAGGTGATCCACATGTTCATTTACAGAGTCTGCAACCTGAGACGAGTATTTTTTAACATCGTTCGGGATGGAAGCAAGCTGCGGATGGCAATAACATGTGTTAGCAGCGGTCACATGTCACTTGGAAGTGTCTAGCACTTACATAGCCAAAAAAGAACTCGTCGTCGCTTGTCATTATGAAAATGTGATAATTTTCTTCAAATGGCTTGAGGGATGGTTACTACTGTCAATAACTTGGCATGCAATTCTCTCCCAAGAAATCCTGGGTTTGATGATGTATTTGCTCCGTTATGCCAAATCAGACCGCTTTCGGAAAAAGGAAAAGCATTATTCCGAATCATCGGTCTTGGCGTCGTTCCACGTGATATCAATTCGAAATGATTCCATACTTCATCCAGCCCTGAGCCTTGTGAGGCGGAGCGGGATTCAAGTTGATAGGAGCGAACGGGGCCTGAGTGTTCTCTCGTTCATCTTCATCGTCGTGTGGCTATCTATATCTTAAAAACCACTTGTCATCCTTTGGTTATAAATCCTGGCAACTCGCATCACGACTCTCCTTGAAAGGTCATTATGCGCTTGCTGTTGACGTGTACCCCCTAGAGCATTATTTACAGACAAGTTCTCAAGCTAGAGAGGCGTTTTTCGGAGGCTGTACCTGAGTCTACTTGGTATAACCAAAATTTCTGTGATATCTTCCCAGTGAAACTGAGCCATGCGGGAATTCGATCCGTTGGTCTCTCAATTCGAGCATCTTAAACACAAACCACGTGAGGCTGAGGCCTTGATGACTCTGCGGAAAATTGCTTCGCTCGTCAAGCCAATAATGCGCCAGCGTGGATGGAGAGTCGGAACTCTTGCTGAATTTTACCCAGAGCGGAATCTGCTTGGTATAAATATAAATCACGGCGAGAAAATATGCCTCAGACTGAGGTACCCGTCAGATGATAAGCAATTTCTTCCCCTTGACCAAGTTCTCGATACTATGCTACATGAGTAAGTTATTAATGTCTGCACATGAGTATCTACTGGATTTTAACGTATTCAGGTTATGCCACATTGTTCACGGGCCCCACGACCAGCAGTTCCATGCCCTATGGAACCAACTTCGTGATGAACAGATGCAACTCTCTCTAAAAGGTTATACCGGGGAAGGTTTCTTGTCCGAAGGGAAGCGACTCGGTGGCCAAAGGATACCCCTGCACGAAGCTCGCCGTATTGCCCGGGTTGCAGCTGAGAAACGACGGACCCTCACAGCGGGTTCTGGGAGAAAAGTCGGAGGTACTCCTATTTTGCGAGGCACAGATATGCGACAAGTGATTGCAGATGCAGCCCAAAGACGAATAACAGTCACCAATGGGTGTGCTAGCGGAACCATTGAAGGGGAAAAATTGGCGGACGAGGCATCTAAAAATGGCTTCAGAACAAAAGCAGAGGAAGAAGATGCGAATGAACGAGCTATTATACAGGCGTACATTGAACTTATACAAGAGGAAGAAAAAGAGCAATATGGAAACTCCTATATTCCTCCAAACAACAGCCATCCTGCTGGACCCAACACTTCTCTTTCTCCTCCTCCCATCCCCCGAGATACCAAACCTAACACTGCTGTTCCACAGCAGCAAAATCCAACTACTAACCCCTTCATTGATCTGGCCGAAGACAGCGTCGCTGACCCAGAGGGTTGGACTTGCCCAGTGTGCACACTTATGAATCCAGCATCCTTCCTCTGCTGTGACGCGTGCACGTCAGAAAGACCACCATCAGTTAAGCCTTCAGTAACGCCTGAGAAGTTCGTGAAACGAGCCCGTAGTGAACCACAGCCTTCCCCTGGTAGCATAGCCCGGAAACCGCGAAACAGAGCTATACAGGCGCTTCTCTCGCTAGAAAAGAAAATTCCGGAAAAGCCCCTTGGTTGGGTTTGCCATTCCTGTGGCGCTTTCATGGAAACACAATGGTGGACTTGTTCTGCGTGTGGGAAGATGAAGCAATCATCATAGTGGCCGACTCTGATGTGGGGTTACGATAATGGTTTATGAATTATGGATCTCATTTTGAAATGAACTTTTTTTGCTTTAGCAAGTTCAGCATGGCGTACATGCATAGAGCTTCATCTTTTGGTTGGATATTGGCATTTACCTTTTTTGTTGTATATATATCTTCTCATTAATAATTTAGGGTCGATTCTCCTTTTTACTTTCGGTTTTTATATTTATTTATTTCGGGAGAAACTTGACGTATTGTCGTCCATCCGACCTGCCATTTGAATCCTACGGCATCCACATATTTGTCACGTGATTTTGGAATAAAACCGTACCAAATTTTTGCGAAGAACTTTGAACCTTCTCCAATTTCAAACTTCTTCCTCCATGCTCGCACTCAACAATTGTGGAAGAGTTTTCCCACACAAACGGCACAGTACTCCACCTAAGGCACATCTGTTGCTATCAGTGCTAATATGTGAGTAATACACCTTCCCCTATTCTTTTTTTCTGCAGTTTACACTGGCCCTATAAGCTTGCATTTCCCAACCTACCCACCAATTTTACATGATGAGATACAATCAAGAACCGAATATATTTTAGGAAGAGCCGGAAGAGGTATGACATGCCGTCACATCAAACCTCATTGGACGACAGTTGCACTACATTCCCAGCATTGGATCGAGATTTTCCCTCCTCTCTACCATTCCACTTTCAATTTTCATCGTCATATGTTTATTGAGACCGGGAGGAGGAGGAGGTTCAAAACTTTCGATTCTCTGCTGTGGGATGGCAGCTGAAGCCAGGTGGGGGACGGTTTTTAAAAATGTCGTCGGTGCTTAGAATGGTTCTACTGAGAAAAAGAGAAGCAAATGAAAATTTGTTATCGCACTGTGCCGTGGTGCTCTCCTTTGCCCTTGATCCTTCGCCGAAGGAGCTAGAGTTGGAATACCGCGGTGTTGTTGTGTGAAACCACTTTTTATTTGCAATTTTCAATACTGTTTATGCATTTGATTGTGGAATCATATGGCTAACATATTTGCTGCCAATTTAGGATTCAGGAACCCACTCTCCTTCCAGCGGACGTACTTTGCTGAGCGACTGTGGAAATCACAGTACTGCTTATATAGAGTGTGATTATGGGGCTACTCCTACAAGTGCTGTTGGCGTAATCCCGCCGAATCTCCATCGATGGGTTGTCCGTAATTCGTGAATCCAGTCTGATTATGTGGGAAGGCTGCTAGTTACGGTTGAAATCACCAGAATGATGAGATAAACTTATTCCGTACAAGAACCTTCCTTGCGTTAATTGAAATCTATTTAAACAAAATTCCTTTCAAAGAAAGCCTTTTTTAAAAAATTACTTCCCAAGAGACAAACAAGCCCCTTTCCAACTCCCAAAATATGTAGCCTGTGAATAAGACATTTGAAAGTCAATAGAGCAGAACGAACTCATGCGAATTCTACCCCTTATGAAACATTGACGAAATACCGCTTTTTGCTCCCTTTTTCCTGCTGCTCTTCCCTCTCCCACAGCTCCTCATCAATGTAATCCGAACGGCCACGTTCCCGGACCTGGTTGCCTATGAATTTGAGTGCTGCAATATTGAACCCCATTTCATCTTTCTGTCTGGCAAGGACACGTCGTAGGTTGCCTCGAATACCATCGAGCATCGGTCTCATCATCTTGCTCGCCACAATCTGGCGATGATGCGTTTTGAGCATGAAAAATAGGACGCGACAGGTCAGCGGGATTTCCCATCCGTTCTTTGCCCAGATATTCAGAAATGTGAAGAGGGCCGGTAATTTTGAAAAGGGAAGAACCAGGAGGGCATCTTGGAGTGCTGCTGCTGGAATTTTTCGTATGACTTGCAGGACATGACGTTCTGCGGCAATGTTACCCAGGGCTAGATAGACGGGATTGCGCGATGGCGGTGCTGCATTGGGATTGGATAATTTCAACTCCTTCCACTCTCTCATAAGCGCCAGGTCCTCAATGCCGAGATCGAGAGCCTCTACAATCTTCTCACCGGCCATGAGGGTTGTAACGGTCTGTTTGCCAGCAGCCACTGCCTCTGCTTTGTCCTGCCCTTCAGCATCCTCGTCCTGATCAAGCGAGGTTGCTAAAGTGCTGTCGTAGAGCTCTTCGAGTTCCTTCTCTCGTTCTTCTTCCAAGAATATTTGCTCATCAGTTTGCTCCCATACTCTGATACTTTTATCGTGGCTTGCACTGACGATGAATTCTCCAGAATGGCTGACAGCAAGCGACCATATCTCGCCATGGTGCCCTTCGAGTTTTTGAATTTGTTCGAATTTATCACCATCCCAATACTTTATCACCCGATCTTTGCTGGCACTGAAGAAGTGATGACCGTTGCCCTCATTATTATTCGGTATGAAAGCTACTGCCATGATACTGTCTTGATGAGCGAAGAACGCCTTGTGACAATCACCGAAATCCAGGCCCCATAGCCGAACGTTCTTGTCCGCAGAGCAGGTGACGATTAATTTGCTGTCGTATGAGATATCCATGTTAAGGACAGGAAGCTTGTGGCCATATAAGATCAAGAATAGTTTCAAAGTGTCAACGAAGAACACTTTGACGGTATTATCCAACAGTGCTACAGCGATGAGTCGCGCATCGGGAGAGAAGCGAATACTTAGGATATCGTCGTTCACTTTAAGTGTCCTCGTATGAACTAATTTAAGGCGAGGAGTCGTCCGTTTCGTACCTAGAATCTCTTCTTGTACGACCTTGAAATCCCAGAACTTAGCTGTCTTATCAGCACTTCCCGTAACCATAGATTTCCCATCAGGATGAACGTGTAGCGCCCATATGGGGCCTTCGTGCGCTTGTACTGTATCCAGCAAGGTAGATGAGGCAATGTCAAAGACTTCTAGCTCCCCATTCTTATTCCCCACTACCACGATTTTGTCTCCAGGTAGGAAGGCGGAGCATAATGAGTAACCACATTCCAAAGTTCGTAAGCAGGTCTGGGTTCGCACATTCCAGATCTTCAAACTACCATTCGAGGCGGATGAAAGCATCCTATCATCAGAGCTCAGGGCAAGCGATCGAATGTCCGTGCGGTGACCTGGCATATCAATCGATAATGCGCGGTTATATTCTGACTCCTCGCTCTCTTTCGATTTTCGCTTCTCCGCAGGGATCACACCGTACACTTCCAGTTGATTGTTGGTTGTTGCCGCAAGTAATCTGAGGCCTTTCCCACCCATCCAGTCCCCTGAACGAATTTTTCCACCTGTTCTGACGATAGTATACGACACAAAAACGTCAGATATTGGGGCGGCCGAGATAGACTGTGGTTTATCAGCATCTGCAGCATTTTCTAGCTCATTTCCAGCGCCTTGTTCACCAGCTTTTTCTCGCCTCCGTCTCCGTTTTCTTGCTAGGCTCTTTTGTACTTCAGTCTCTGTTCGTATCCTCCAGATCTCGATCGATTTTTCAGCGCCGTGGACTGCAATGTAATCCAACCTCGGATGGAAGCTGATACCGACTGTTCGGTCTTTGCCCTGTCGATATAAATTACCCCTATCCACAAGGATTTTGCGACCGTCTGTTGCCCCAGTCTCTTTCGCCACTTCATTCATCGCAGCAGCATCGATGGACCACACTCGAAGTTCGCCATCGTTCCCTCCAGTTATACATCCACTCTGGTCGGGTGAAAGCCCCAATGACCAACATTCCCCGTTGCTCTGCGCGACATGAGTTTCGATGCAGTGCTGAGACGAAAGGTCCCAGACTTTGATCAAGGAATCTTTTCCAGTGGTCAAGAGGAAGCGGTCCTGGTCAGTGTTACTTTGTATTTCAGTGTCACCGGCGCCCGAACCGTTCAAAAAGTTGACAGAGGTAATTTGATCCGTGTGACCCCGTAGTTTGACAATGCCAACCTCTGCGATCAAGTCCCATACTATAACGTCGGTGTCTTTGGAGCCACTCGCCAAGCGCACTCCCGCACTGTCGAATGCCAACTGGGTAATGGCGGTTTTATGGCCATTGAAAGATATCATAACCGTCGCTAGTCTCGAGTCCCATAGCCTGATTGTGCCATCCTCATACCTATTTACCACATGCTGTTAGAATCCCATTCATGGTATCTAGGAGAGACAATCCTATTCTTACCCAACCGCGAAAATATCTTTATCTGTTTTGCTTTGTGAGATAGCCGTGACCTGTGCGCTGCAATCCACATCCCTCCATTTGCTGAGCAATTCACCCTTTTTCAAATCCCAGCATATCACCTCCTCTCCTGCTCCAACAACTGCTCGTCCGGCACCCGTGTGTCGAGTTTCGGTGGAGACATCTTCGTCAGGTATCCAAACCGCATTCGACCAAGCCGCAGTAATAAGGCCAAAGGTTTTCGAAGGCTCGAATTTCCTGAAGGAATAATCAGTCATCCATAATCTATAAATAAGGTAGACATATACACAGATCTTGTACTCACAAATATGATTTGACCATTTTTTCCGCCTGGGTGCTCAAGCAAAAATTTGGAGCTCCCTCGACTTTTTCGCAGCCAGTTATTTTAGCGCGCGCAACAATAGGCGCCTAACTACGGTGGCCGCTACTGACCATTGCGGCAGTATCCTCCGCTCCACTTCGTAGTTGTTGCGGCGGTGCAGGCTGATGCGGCCAACATTTATCAAACAACTACTGGGAATATACATCTTTTCGCTTCACGCATTGACATGATCCCCGGTCCATCATCATGCTTCTCTTAGATTACCAAAATGTCCTTATCCAATCCCTCCTAACGGAGCGATTCTCTGGGTATGTTCCGACCCCTCTCCCCGCTCAACTACCATACATCGTCACCTCTCCCCTCATTACAAGCTATCCCACCCGATATTTACCAGTGCTAACATACTCCAACCATAGAGGCCCCCCCGTATCCATTGATCAAATCGTTTCTGATTTCGACGGCGTCACGTTCCATATTTCCACCCCAGAAACTAAATCCAAGATCCTCATCTCCATCTCCGTTAAATGTTTCCGCGAGCTGGTGCAGTACGGGGCGCAAAGTGTCCTCGAGCGGGAATATGGCCCATTCATCGTGCCTCCAGAGCCCGGCTATGATTTCTCCATTCTAGTTGATCTAGATAATCTCCCCGCGGAACCGGAAGGTAGAGAAGACTTGGTTAATCGGATCGCGCTCATGCGACGGAATGTGATGGCCGCACCTTTTGAGAAGGCATTCGATGAATTCTCAGAACTGCAGGAGGAGGCGGCGAGATACACTTCTGAATCAGCGCCCCAAGGTGTGGCGGAGGGAGGTGAGGTTATGTCAATCCATTATCGGGACCAGGAAGCGATATACATCAAGGCCAGCCACGATCGGGTTACCGTGATTTTCAGCACTATTTTCCGAGATGAGACAGACAGAATATTCGGCAAAGTGTTTTTGCAAGTATGTTTTCCGTCTCCTGATACCATATGCCATTGAGCAGAATATATTTCTTACCCGACTGTCAGGAATTCGTCGATGCAAGAAGACGAGCGATCCAAAACGCGCCTCAAGTTCTTTTCCGCAATGACCCTCCTCTCGAACTACAAGGCATACCGGAGGTAAAGGCCTCCGGAAGCGACGTCGGTTACATCACTTTCGGTACTTTGACTCCTTCGTGCTCTCCCATTCCCTCCGGTGCACCGGAAGCTGACTGTCCGTTTGAAAACAGTTCTCTTCCCTCGCCATCTTACACCCCAGCGACGTGGAGAGAATATCTCCCATATCCAGATCTTCCGCGACTATTTCCACTACCATATCAAAGCTTCGAAGGTAACTTTCATGGCCCGAACAATCCATCATTTTGTGTACCAACTAACATTTTTCGAAAGGCATATATCCACTCGAGGATGCGGAGACGAACCGCAGACTTCCTACAAGGTACGTGTCTGCCCTTTTTGGACTTTGGTACGTTCTAGCTTGACACACGAAATTAACTGTTAAACCATAGTTCTCAATCGTGCCCGACCCGAGAATGAGGAACGGGAGAGAAAGACTGCGAGTGGGAGGACATTCCGCGTACAGGGTTGAGAACTCGCTTAGGAGGAATAACGACAATGCCCGATTTTTCCTACCAACCTCTTTTATAGGTTAACCACAAGTTTCCAATGCTGAATTTTCATTCCCACTTTCGTATCACTTTCGTATCACTTTCTATCCCACTACCTTCTATTTGTTTGTATTCATCATATTCTGCATCCAGATGGCAAGTCCACCAAACGCGTAAGTTAATACTCCAGGGCCAGCTCGGTACAGATAACACCAGCGCTGTCCTCATTTGGAGAAGCCATCTCTTTCCAGAATTACTATTTGAAGGGTTGATTGAAATGTAATTAAAGTCTTGCCTTCACTAGTAATTTTGCTTCAGATGCATACACACCTAGATGTATTCTACTCTTGAGGAAACTAGCCCATGAAGCCAAACTGTAAACACATATTTATATATCTATGAATGGCAAAAATCCAATTGTTTGTAACATGTAATATCGCTATCATTTATGTGTATATCGAACAAAATCGTCTCTCGTCGCATTACCCACTTTCAGAGGATAATAAAAACAGAAAAGCGAAAACAAAAGGAAACAGAACAGAACTAATTAAAAAGTAAAATAATTAATCAAAAAGGGAACAGGAAAAGGAAAACGATATTATTACAAATTATAACCAAAATACCAATAGCAAGTATAACCAAAAAAATAGGCTCAAGGCTATGAAACCGTCATAACAAAAAGAAATCCATTCAGTCTTCAAAGAAATTCAAAATAGCCCTTATACCCTTGGAACCCATCCCATGGCGCGGGTAAGCAATGAAAAGCGGTTCCTCAAACGCACCCAACTTAGCCCTAAACTCCGTCTTGCGATTCAGCCCAAACTGCTTGGCAATGGCTTCATAGGTGGTCTGGAGCACCTTGCCCTTCGTGGACGACATGTTATGGCCCGGCGTGAGCGTCGAGGACGCGCCCGCGCCAAACGTGAGTGCCTTAATGCCAAACCTGGCCCCAGCCTGCACGACATGGGTGATCAGGTACTCGATGGTCCCGGACGGTGCGCCGGGGAAATCTAAGCTGTATTTGATCTGCATGCTGTTCGCACCTAGGCGGGCTAGGGCGACGAAGGCGCAAATCGTCCCTGTGCTGTCGGTGGCGTAGTAGTACTGGTAATCCCGCGGGCTGCGCCATGGCTTGATGTCCGACAGGTAGATCTGGGGGCCTTTGCGATTTGCCTGCCACTCCTTGATCCGCGCGTCGATCTTGGAGGTGATGTCTTCTGGAAGAGGTTTGTCGCTGGGGATGTGGTGGACCTTGACGCCCTCGCGCTCTGCCTGGCGGATCTTCTTGGCGATATCTGCGTCCGCGGCCGTTTGGTTGCGGGACGGATCGATGCGCGCTTCGCCGACGCAGGAGAGGGTGCGCCAGCCTAGCTTTTCGCCTAGGATTTCTTCGACCGGCATGGAGCAGAGGATCCAGATGGGTTTCAGGCGCGCTTCGGCCTTGAGCCAGCGGAGGAAGCGAATGGTTACTTTGGAGTACTGGCTCGGGTCACAGAGCGGGTCGCCCGGGATTATCGCGAAGCCGTGAGAGCTGGGGACGTATGCTACGGCGGCACCGGTCGGATGGTCGCGCCAGATTTTATATTTCATGTCGGGCCACGAAGTTGATGTTGCATCGCCGTAGTTGGCGATGAGTTCGTCCAAGGGTTGGAATTTCCGATCCTGATCGCCCCTGCCATCGCTTTGATACCCTTCCTTCTCCCATGGAGGTTCAAGAGTGGACGATTCCGGGTAGCGGAGGATGCGTGATGTATCTGGCATATCTTGAAAGCTCTTTGGGTCCCTGTGGAATAATGAGGCTAGGCGGATGTTTCCAAGTTTCAAGATCAGCATGATTAATCTTTCGAGGCCGATGCCCGCACCGGCGTGAGGGGGGGCTGCCCAACGGAAGCCTTCCATGTACTCCTCCATTGTCGCAGGGTTGATACCAACGTCCTTCATTCGTTTCTCGAGGATCTTCTCATCATGTATCCGCTGGCCGCCGGAGACGATCTCTTGGCCTCTGACAAAGATATCGAACGAATTGGTGAAGTCAGGGTTCTCGGGATCTTCCATGGCATAAAATGGCCTTGCGGCCTTGGGGAACTTATCCAATATGAAATAATCGGTGTGGTATTTCTCTTTTATCAATTCTCCCAATCGAATCTCATCACGCGTCCCCAAGTCTTCGTTTATTGGTAGTTCCTCACCATCTCGGCGCCATCCGCTCTCATTAAGAAGTTTTATTCCCTCCGTGAATGGTATAATTGGTGTCTCATCCAGCCAGACCAAGTCTTCATGAGGGAATTGATTTTTGATAATATTCACCTCTCTTCGATAGCGGCCATATATCCCTTTGAAGATCTCCTTGAGGACAGAATCGACAATCTCCAGCGCTTCGTGGTAATGTTCCTCTATCGCCATCTCGATATCCAGGCCAGTGTATTCCGTCAAGTGGCGATGGGTATTTGAGTTCTCAGCGCGGAATACTGCGCCAATCTCGTACACACGCTCGAAGTCGCTTGCAATAGCCATTTGCTTGGCGAGTTGTGGACTCTGCGCAAGGAAGGCTTCTCTTGTGAAATACTTGACTTCGAAAACGCTAGCACCAGACTCGGTGGCCGAACTCTGTAATTTCGGTGTATGAATCTCAATGAACCCCTGAGCATCCAACGAAGAACGGAACAAATTGCTGACTGCGCTCTGGATTCTGAATATGGATTGGGAGGTGTCGGTTCGCAGATCTAGGATTCGATTGGAAAGACGGGTCCGGTCCAGCACGTGGTTTCGCCGTCCGTCACTACTAACGTCTTTGCTCGGGAGTTCTGCTTCGTAAACGCTGAACGGGATTTGGTCCTGTCTGTGAACAATTACGTGAAGCCCCTGGATATCGATCTCCACATCATGGATGGTGGTTCCCGTAACAGGGACTTTGGACTTGGTTAGCACGCCTTTAACCTTGACAATTGACCCTACTCGGATATGTTCAGCCCATTGGATCATAAGAGTCGATATCGCCCCGGGTTTCTCTGCCAGCACGCCCTGTATAGTGGTGATTTGTTGCCTGAGAATGATGAAAACTAGCTTCGATGACATATTACGGATATGATGCACCCGCGCGCGGAACGTGACCTCCTGACCGATCGAGTCTGGTGTGACATTGTCAAACTTGAGTAGATCCTCCCGTAGACGCTGCCTGGACTGCATCAGCGGCAAATCTCCATAGCGGGCTTTCATCTCGTGGGGTTCTTCTCGCGCAGCCTGCGCATCGCGCTCCCGCTTGCGTGTTCGCGATTGCTCGCTCATCTCCCCGCTCAATCGCGACCTGGATTCTCGCTTCAGTTTCCGCGACTGGCGATTCTGTTGTTTCTTGCTTAGGAGGTCGCTATCATCGCTAGGTAAATCTTCACTGGAGGATGCGATATCCCTGTCGAGGAAGAAGTTTGCGAAGCTTTTAAGAGGAGAGGTGGAGGACTCGTTATCCGACGATGGTCTCGCGGTCTCCTTTAACTTTGTAAGAGCCGTTTTGATAGTCATGTTGAGGGATGAATTCCTTCGATGCCTTCGGCGGTGCGATTTTGCTGCTCGCGGTGAAATAACTGGGACTCCCGGATCCAACACCGGCATGTTGAATTTTCTTTCAATCAAAAGTTCTAGGGCAAAAAAAAAAAATGAAAAGAACAACGAAAAGTAAAAAACTAGGAAGCCGCTACGTAACTCCCCCTAGTTTTCTTGTTTTGACTAGAATACCAGTTAGTTAGCATGTGGACGAGGAAGGCAGATCAGGAAAATATACCTGGGAAGAGTTAACGCAACGGTTATAGTAGAGATAATCGCCGGCTTTTTATATTGGGGCAATTAAGTTTTGAAGAATGAAAAAGACTGGGGTGACTTTCATAGATATATATATAATATATTTTAATCAGTAGTATAAGGCAGGTTCAATAGGAGAAAGGAAATCAACGGAAGCAGCAATCCCGGCGTCATTTCTAAGCAATGTATGCTATCCGGGCACAAGCGGACTTGATTAGTAGAGTAACTAACTAACTACCTGACCAAGAACGGGAACGAGGAAGTCAAGTCAATACGAGAGAAGTTTGAGAATCCTCATCCGAGTCGTCTCGTGGTGGATGTTTCGTCCCCCGGCTTTGATTGCATCATAAGCAGCGGATTGCCCGAAATCAGTCGTCATAAGCATATCTGCGCTAAAATTTCCGGGTTCCCCCCCCCCCCCCCCCCCCCCCCGGGCCGCCACCCCGGACGAAAAAAAAGAAGTAAAACTGGATGTTGAGATGTTAGGGGCTTTTTTCTTTAACGTGAAGTCATTGGTAGAGTAACTAGTTAACTACTTAAGACGCCGGTTGTCGATCATGATCATGCAGTCACATGTCCCACATTCTATAAACCACTCGAACTGGTTTGAGTTTACATAGTACTCTCTCTGTATAGTTCGGAATTTCTGGACGGAGGGCAACATTCAAACTATTTCATCTCATTTATAAAAAAAAACACACCTACAACTCCTATTCACACTCTTCACACAAGGTAATTGGGGTGACTTTGGAAGGCCGGTTGAAGACCTAGATGCGATGTAGGGGCTGACAATTATTAAGTTAGTTACGTTGGTGATGTCATGATTACAAATTGATGGCCGGCAATCAACAATTTTTGTCGGCGTTATTGACATTTTTGACATTTGCTGCAATTATAATAATTAGTAGTTACTCCGTACAAGAGTATTATCATTGTTATTCGAAGAGTCTAGAGCTTTCTTTCTTTAGGTGAGTAAGCCAAACAACCCCGCTCGAATCCAAAAAGGCTCGAAAACAACTGGGCTTCAAATTTTGATTCTTCAGGGGCGACAAACCTTCTATTCTGCAGTAACTAACTTAACTCACTGGTCAGTATCTTTTTTGGAGAGGGAATCTTTTTCAAATGACCAGGAGAATCAGTTTTCGAAGATGCAGACTATGTATAATTGAAACCAGCATGAATCTGATGAGATTTGAAAAAGATGAGACTGATTCAGAAGATTATAACTGAAAAAATGCCGCTTAGTTTAAAAAAAACTGTAAGTAAATAAACAGTGAGAGTTTGTCAAAGTTCACTTGTTACATTTCTGTCTAACTATTCAAAATCTATAAAATCAAAAGAAAGAAATGACTATAAGACAATGAATAAATGAAAAATTAAAGAAATTAAAGAGTGTAGTGTGTATTAGTTACATATATAATAACTAAATGAATAAATAAAAACTGAAGAATATACATCTGTCAAGTAATGAGAAAGTTTTCATCTGATAAATGATCTCATTTAACACTGAAATTCTCAAGCTCATATAAAGAAAAAAGAAGTTTACAGAAAAATATATGATCAGAAGACTATCTCTCTTCTTGATCAAACTATTCACTGCATTCTTTCTGTAGTCACTGTAGAACATGAATTTCTAGAGATTTTCTTATATGTTGAATCACTTAAAGAAGCACATTCTCTTCAACAGCAGCTTTGATGCTTAATTTTTAGGTTGTGACTTGATACACCCACCTGCAGCTCTTTCACAGCTTCAGAGCTTCAAGCTATATGTTCATAAGTCAGAGTCACATAAGTCAGAGTCAGACTTCAAATGTATGTATCGCAGGTATGTAATGTATCATTCTGACCAAGACAGGCAGGTTGAGGAAACTGCATTATGTTGATATTCTTTGAGAAAAGTTGTTTGTATAACACCAGCTTGAATAGAAGCTCTGAGAGTCTGTACACTGATCATCATAATTCTTGTTCTTGTTTGTTCAAAAACCCCTTGACAGCAATCTTTAGCAAGCTTCTTGTTCAACTCACTCTTGATATAATCACATCACTTGTGCTTTGCATAGAGGCAATAGATGAGTAACTATCCCTCACAGGCATTGATCATCTTCTCAACAGCCTGGATGATAAGGAAATGGAACCCCCCCCCCCCCAGAGTTTAACCAACCAGCACGCCAAGCCACCAGGCCTAGGCTTATCCAACCTCCGACTTACGGCCGCAATAATGATGTAAGTACTCCGTATGTATGAAGCCCGTTGAATTCGCCAGCCCACCATGTCGAAAAACTTATATATCAAATCTCCCATCATCATGTTGCTATCTATACCTACAACATGAATCTAACTTTCACCCTGTAAGATATCTACGCTGCTAGGTAGACCCTCTCCCCTCTATCCCCGGAGCCATGACTCCACAAACGTCGACGAAAGGCCAAAATGAGCAACCGTTACGTCGCAAACCGCATAACCGCCTAGCGCTGCGCATCGAAGCCGTTATCCTTCGATTCCTCATGAAAATCGGCATGGTCTTACACGGCTACCCATTCCCCAGACCCCCGTTACCACATTTCACCCGAATTATTCAGCCCTCTCCCTCCTCACCATCCTCCAGAGGCAACCTAGAATCCCCTGCCCTATCCCCTCTATCCTCCACCTCCTCTCGATTACGAAATATAAGCCTCCATTTTTACACTCCGTCCAACTACCAAACAAACTCCCCCGGCGGCAGAAGGTGGCCAGTTATCGTCAACTTCCACGGCGGGGGGTTCACGATTGGATGTGCAACGGACGACTGCCGCTGGGCGCGCATCGCCGTGGAGTCCACCCAGGCCGTGTTCGTGAGCGTAGACTACCGACTAGCCCCCGAACACCCCTTCCCAGCTGCTGTGGACGATGGCGTTGATGCGCTGCTCTACCTCGAAGCCAACGCGCAGGCGTTCTCGCTCGATATGTCTCGCGTGAGCGTGACGGGGTTTTCAGCGGGCGGGAATCTGGCCGTCACCGTCCCGCTGCGTTTACGTCACCGCATCATGATGCAACAGCAGCAGCAGGAGCAGCAGGAGCAGCAGGGGCATCCGGAGCATCAGTGCGTTCCAGACAACGACAATAATAGCGACGACGACATCGGGCACGTAGATTCAAACCAACACCTCCTCCCCAGAAACCCCACCCAACCCCACCACCAGTCAACCCGTCTCCCCCAAATCCAACTCCTTAGCATCTTCTCCTGGTACCCCATCCTCGACTTCGTAATAACCCGCAAAGTCCGCAGCAGCCGCTCCAGGAACCCAGACAAATGCCTCCCAAACTTCCTCACAACCCTCTTCGACGAGTCCTACCTGCCCGACCTGACCGACCGCGCCTCGCCCTTCGCCTCACCCATCCACGCCTCCGATGACATGCTGCACCAAGGCTTGCCGTCTAACATATTCATGTACATGTGCGAGTGGGACATGCTGCTCGAGGAAGGGCAGGAGTTTGCGCAGCGGCTGGAAGGGATGGGGAAGAAGGTGCGGTCGATGATGGTGGCCAGCCAGCCGCATGCGTGGGATAAGAGTGCGAATCCGCTGAGGGATCAGGGGGCTGTGGATGTTTTGTATAGACAGGCGTGTTATGAGATGGGGGCTATTTTTGAGAGGGGGCCCGCGGGGAGATGAGGTTGAATCTTTGTAGATTTTCTTTTTTGGAATAGGGGTTTGGGTTGTTTCTTTGGTTGTGCGGTGTATACTATTTACTACACTATAGATGGGGCTTTTCTTTGACTCCTTTACTTCATTCTCGGTTTTCTTACTCTTTCCCTGGCGACCTGGGTACCCTTAATTGTTTCTCCTTTTCAGTCCGACTGGCCTAGGAGATTAGGAATAACTTGTTTGGGGATTGAAACGAAAATGAGAGGGGAGATGCAGAGAGGGAGGGATTTTGAGCCTAGGTTGGGTTCGTTCGTTTGATTAATTATTTTACCCGTTGCGTATGTATGTATATTATGTACAGTATGTTTAGTTTGAGATAGCAGGAGTTGACAGTTGATAAATGGTAAAAAATAATATATTAAATCATATTCTTTGAAAAAAAGAAGGTATAACTTGCGATTCTTTTTGTAAAAGTTCATAAAGAGGTGCATTCATCTGTTCCCAGCCAGGCTATTTGCTCATGATGCCATGATGCCATGACTTAAAAGGACATAAACCAATGAAAAGGGGACTGTTCCCCTCCCACAAAAGATAAATAAAAGAGAAATGGATAACACAAGGCCAATGAGACTGGAATAGATGTTTGAGTAAACAAGAAATATCGCGGGAAAAAAAAAAAAAACAAAAAGAGTCGCTAAAATACAGAGGGAAATAGGGTTAAAAAGAGGCTGTAAATAAATCCAGAGAGGATAAAGCAGAAAAAAAAAATTAATAATAATAAACAAACCCAACCAAAGCAAGCAAAACCTTCCTAGAAATGTCCAATGCGTGCCATGTCGTCTTTCATATTTTTGCCTCCATTATAAAGTAATGCAAGGTTTCAATCAACCCCTCCCTCTTTACATCAAAGGGCGGAAGAGAATCATAACATAAAATCAGCCAATAAAATAATTTCAATCTTCATCCGTCCCCGTCCCCGTCCCCCCCTCCTCCTCACTATCCGCCCCTTCATCCCCCGTAAAACTCGCATCCGACGTCTCATCATCATCAAACTCATCCTCATCCTCCCGATCATCCACCCCAGGAATCCCCCTCCACTCCAAATAATCACCGACAACCCACCGCCGGCTCCTGGGCAGATGATACGGGTCGAACGGGAAATACGCATCGAGCTGCGGGCCCATGTCGTCATCCGCTTTGGTCTCGCGCTCCACGTGGCCGAAGCGCGACTCCATCGCCAGCGCCGTCAGGCTGCGGAACGAGGAGATGCGGACCCGCTTGTTCGTCTCGATGAGGGAGTAGAGGTACATGAAGCCGAGGTGGTGGGTTAGGCGGGCGAACTCGGAGACGATGGCGGGCGAGCAGATTTTGAGGGGGTTGAGTTTCGAGTTGATGGCCGGGTGGAGGACGTCTTTGATCTGCGGCGGGAAGCGGGCGTCGTCGAGGTCGAGGTTGTCTAGCCAGTCTGAGGAGGCTGGGGTGATGGTGATGTCGGCTTCTAGCGCGGCGGTGGTGAGGTCGCGCCAGCGGAAGCAGAAGATGTAGAGGAGGGCTTGGGCGGTGGAGTAGAAAGGGCCGTAGCGTTTCAGGTCGGGCCCTCGGCAGGTGGGTTCGTATTCGTTCTGGAGGTTTTTGAGATGTGTGCCGAGCAGGTCGAAGACGTCGCGGACGACTTCGCTGGAGACGTGGGCGCCTCGGGCGACGAAACTGGCGAGATATGCGGCAGCATATTGGCGGATGATGGTTGGTTGGGATTTGGAGAAGATGATCTGCACGCAGGTGGTGGCGAAGCGGTCGATGAAGATTGGAGAGGATTGCGAATAGTGGAATAGAAGGAATTGGGTGTGGCGGGAGCGGTAGGTGGGGAGGATTATGGTTTGGAAGTGTGAAAGGAGGAGGTCGTTGGCAGTCTCTTTTTCGTCGACTGTGCCATAGTTGAAAGGTACGGAGTAGTATTCAAATAGAATGTCGATCATGAAGTCGATCTTTTGCTTCGTGTCTACTCGTTGTTTGGCGCGTTGAGCTTCGATATCGCTTAGATCGTCGTCCTCACTGGCAATCGTCTCCGTATCCGAATCCTCATCGTCGTATTCATCGCCTAATGCTATTGCTTCCGGCGAAGACATTGCGATGGGGTTGTCATCATCAATATCCTCATCTGCATCCTCCAAATCCACCTGGAACTGTACATCAATCTTCACGAGCTTTTCCGTGACGAGAGCAAGGATATCCGAACGTAGTTCGGGGGCGTAGTCAATGATTTTGATGATATTCCGCGTATACACGATATGCGCCTTCGCGGTGTCCGTATCATAGGGGAAGCTGGACGCAATCAGAGGCGACAAAGCACCGCTACCGGCGGGGATAAGCTGAATGATATATCTAATGGCCATGTGAACTCTAGCGTAGATCTCCGACGGGTACACAACGGGATATCCGGGCAGCTTTCCAACACGAGGACCAACTAAAAATACAAAATAGTTTCTAGTTAGCCACGCCATTATTATTATTTCCAGCCAGGGAAAAAAAAAAAAAAAAAAAAAAAAAAGGAAGATGATCCACTCACCCTGCCTCAACCCATGCACCAAAACCCTCAGCACAGAATTCAAGTACGTCCCCCTAGCCGCCGCCAACGTGCCCAAAAACCTCACAAAGAGCTTAACGTAACCCTCGTCTCTCCCAAGCCACTCGCTCCCCAACACCGCATGCACAAGCCCACTACAGCTCCCATCCAGCGCCGACACGTTCGAAAACAGACCCAGCAAGTGATTCCTCAACGACGTCGGAGACGGCAGGTCATACACAGGCGACCCATCATCCTCCAGCTCCTTGGGATCCGCCGTAAATATCTCCTTGACGCGGTCATACGCCTCGCTGTCGCCCATCAAATGGCGCTGGATGGCTCGACGGACCTCCTCGCGCACCATCGCTGTGCCTTTCTCCGCAGCGGCAGCGGCAGCACCAGCTCCAGCTCCAGGATTATTACTACCAATACCGCGCTGCTCCGCCTCTTCATCCCGCCGCTGCTGTCGGTGATTCGTATTCGGCATATCCATCTCAAACGTGACGCGCGCCCGTTTCTTCGCGGGGGAAGAAGGGATTGTCACAGGACTGGTGCCGCCCTGCTCCTCGTCGTCCAGATCATCAGATGAAATCCCCAAGTCCGAAATGCTGCCCGACGACATATCCATCTCGACCCTCTTGCGCTTTTGGCCAATTGTGCTCGTAGCGGGTATGGACGTAGAGGTTTTGAGGATAGACTTTGAAGGTTTCAGCTTCGACGAAGGGGTTGGCATTGCTCTTGGGTTCACCGCAGTCGGAGCAAGGAGGACGGGAACTGCAGAGACCATTTCAGTGGGCTATTTTTTTCTCCTCTCCTGTCTCCTGTTGGTTGCTGGTCTTTGTGCGTGTCGCTATGATGCCTATAGCTAGGCGGGGAGTTGGTATGATTGATCTTGCCCAGAGTAGCGGTTTCGCCGTTAAATAGGGATGGAAATGAACCGCGGTGAAAAATAAGTAGGGATGCAAGCCGTCTATTTAACAACTCGCAACCGGACGGACACAACACACACCCCCCTCCACCTCCAGTGATGGAGATCAGAATTTGAAGTCCAATGTATATCAAAAGGCTGGGATAGGAGTGAATGTGTGACAGACGAGAGCAACAATTAGCTGCAGGCAGAAAAAAAAAAAAAAAAAAAAAAAAAAAAAACCAAACGCCCCGCTCTTCCGAAGTGTCCTTGTTCCTCGTTCCTTTCCTTTTCCCGATTTAATATGATTTTTATATTTTGTACACAAAAGATTTAATTTATTTATTCTGCCTCCTTTTCCTGGGATTCGCGAATATCCAGAGATGTCGAGAAGACCCGTGGGAGGAGAGAGTAGAGGAGGAGCTTTACTTGAGAAATGGCAATAAGCAAATCATATTATTTTCGTTTTATTCCCCCTCCAGTTCCGATGGTTAGATAGTGAAGTGTATGTGACATGAAGAGATGAGGGATTGAGAAATCCAGCTAAAAAATAAAAGATGAAAAATGAAAAAAAATAAAAAAATAAAAAATAAATGGACAGGAATAGGAGGGGAGGGAGGGTTTATCTCTTCGTCGCCGGTGTTTGGTGGGCTTCCACTTCGTTTGGAGGTTTGGTCGTGGCAACCAAAGAAATATTTTTTTTTCTTTTTTTTTCTTTTTTTTGGCAGTAAATTAGTTTTACGTTAACCCACATTCGCAAAGGCGGTGAGAAGCTTTTCTAACCTCTTGTTGATTCATTCCCCCTGATATTTCACATTTTAACAGCGGGGGATGCTTTCTTCAGCCATCATTTGAGACAGATGCTAATATCTTTTTTTTTTCCCTTCTCTATACTAACTATTCATCATCTCTATCTCTTCTACAGAGTACTTTTTGCTGCATTTCTTTTCCTTCTTTTCCTTCTTTTCCCGGGCGGGCGGGGCTCAGTGCCATATAACCACGTGACTTGGAAACCCTATGCCAAGCCAAGATTCTTATCTCCGGGTTGGTTGGGCAGGACTCAACGCCTTACCGGATCGGGTTAGTATAATTGATTTGTGGTCGGTCTCATTTTTTTTTTTTTTTTTTTTTTGTCGCGAAACGAATCATTTAATATTATTAATATTCCATTCCAGGTTCCAGGAAGAATAGAATATTTAATAATAGACAGAAAAGAAAACTCGTCCGTAACTCTCCCATCTTTTTTTCCTGCTGCCTATCCCTCACACAACGAACCACAACGAACGCAAGGCAATTTCCCCCCTCCCTCCAGCCAAGACCAAACTATGATGTGAAAATCAAGAAGAAACAATATCAATTGCCCTTCTCTAGATCTGAGGGGGATGCACTCCATGCTGTACTGTACTGATATGGCGCATGAAAAGCAAGATAACATACACACACACGCACACGCACACATATATATATATATATGAACATTGACATTATCGCTGATAAATAATAACATGGTTCCTCCATTTCTGCCGCCGTGTAACAACAACACAAACACACAACACAACAGAAAACAAAAAAAACCCAGCGCCCCAAGCCTCCTTTTAAACTGCCACGAAGTACTCCGTAGTCATTATTATTAAAATCCCCGCGAATTACTCCGGACACAAAAAAAGTGTCGTCGGAATCAGACTGGAGAATCAATGTCGCGAGCTCCCTTGCTGGCCCTGAAATCAAGACAAGACTGAGATTGACTGAAACTTCAACAACATGAAACGGGTTGGATTTAACTAGTTATATAACCTAACCTAACCTAACTAACCACATTTTATACCTTGATTTTGACAAACCTCCTGTGGAGTTTAGCGAAAGTAAGTCACATAGAGAGGTGAATAAGAACAGGATTCTGTTTCTTTTTTTTTTTTTTTTTTTCTCATATCAAATGTTCACACAAAACAAGGTTTTATTTTTAATTGATTTGCGAATTTTTGTATGTGTGTAGATCATCAGGGAGCTGCTAGCTAGCTGAGCTAGCTAGTTAATAAGATAACCATATTTTCTGATTCCTCTTCTCAGAATCAACGGTCCGGCCCCCGGCCTGCTTTGAAGCAATTTTGTTCCAGGAAACTTGAAATAGAAATAATAAAAAAGGAGTCCCCACCCACCCACCCATAACCATACGCAGTACATACATAACCTTTCAAATCTGATGAGCCAAAGAACAAGGTTCAATACATGAGCAGATTAAACAAGGAATAAGGAGGGGGAAAAGAGGGAGTCGAAAACGGAGTGAAAAGCGGGGTGGTAAGTTTTTTGTGAGAACTATGCTTATACCATCATGGGGAGGTCAAAAAGTAAAACGTAGCTACCTATATTTGCAATTTGAGATACATGGGAGAAGATAAGAAAGAAGAAATGGTAAAACAAGATATATTGAAGCGACGATTTGGGGGGATATAATGTAAATATTTCACATGCGTGTCAATAGCCCGGTCAATTGATCGGTCAATTGATCGGTCAAATGGAATCAGATCAAGATACATAGATAAGTAGGTTAGATAAAATAAAAAGCCAGCTGGTTTAAAAACGAAGGGCAACCAGATGACGGGGGAGAAGGAGGATGGGATGGGCGGAAAACGCTCGGCAAGAGAAATATGGCAGAACACAGTCAACAACAGAAAAAAGAAAAAAAGAAAAAGAAAAGAAAAAACGTCCATCAAGCGGTCAATCATAAGCAGAAGAGGAAATGAAAGCAGCATATTCCTCCTCTAGAAAAAAAAATTTCTCTTCGTGTGTTCCTATATCCACGCATTCCCGCGAACCAGTCTCTCACTATCACCACCATATCCCTTCCCACCACTGCTATACCCAACCACATCATCAAAAGTACTCCGATACAGCCCTTCAATCTCCATGATATAGTCCTCCACCGCAAATTTATACAATCCCTTCTGCACCAGCGTCTGCTCCTCCTCCACAATCACAGCGTTCCGCACTGTAGCAAATTCCTCTGCGACCTCATTGACCTGCTCCAGCTCCTTGCCGAAAGGGTGTGGTTGTTGAGTGGTGGAGATGGAGTTGGGTGCGGAGTCTTCGGGGACCTGGTGGAGTCGTTCTTGGCTGAGGCGGGAGGAGCGGGTACTGCTTTGGGTGCTGTGGCTGCGACTGAGAGAGTGGGAGTGGGAGTTCGATACGGACTGGGAGTGGGTGAGGGAGGTGGTTGAGTCTTTAGATATTGATCTCTGGCGAGCTAATTCCTGATGAGATTTTTTTGTATGCGATAGTGATCGATGGGGGAGCTTTGGGGTTTGGGAGATGGAAGAGGAGGTTGAGGAGCGGGTGTAGTGGTGTGTTGAGTTGGAACGCTTGGGAGAGTCGAAGAAACCAGAGAGATGATTCGGTTCTGGTGTGATGGGTGAAGCTTCTTCGGTCGACAGGTCTGGAGAGGTGATTGGGGTGCCGGAGCGTTGCGAAGGCGAGGGAATAGAAGACGAGGATGAAGATGCAGAAGATGGGTTTGTAATATCTGAGTCCGAACCGGAGCGGAAGGAGGAGGACGACGAATTGGCTTGTGATGCGGAGGATTTTTTTAATTCTGGCGATGGCTGGGATTTATTGATTTTAGATTTAGCTTTGGGGAGATCAGGGGCATTGTATGCGAGGAGGTTTGTGGTTGACAACAATCGCACTGGCAAAGAGATATCCTTTCGTTTGATTGTTCCCGCAGCGAATTTCTGTTGGCCTTCGCGATATGGCATGGGTGCGGAAACAACGACTGGCTTCTGCTGGCGCTTGGTAAACGCTCTGCTCAGTGAGCTGGACATAGTGGAGGTCGCCATGAGCAACTTCTCTGATCTGTTAAAAGACAAATCGGGGCCTATTTTGAGGAGTTCGGTGGTTTTGGTGGATGTAATTGTATGTCGCAGTGAGAACGACAAACCACCTATGCGATGGGAGGGTTTGCGCTTCCCTTTTTAGATGTCAGGAGTTATCGATCCCCCACACACGCCGGTGGACGTAACCGTCGGATAAAAAGAAGGATAAATGTAAACCGAAACAACAAATACAAGTAGAAAAGAACTGAAAAACTAAAAAATCAAGGGGTATATAAGCCCCAAACCACGACGCAAGCGGGTTTCGGGTTTCGGGTTTGGCAAAAAAAAAAAATAACTAAGAAGTCGATTGATCCACGAGGCGCTATATGTTTCCTGGAAATGGGGTACACTAGGTACTTGTGTGTATTTTGCCGGAAGAGGCAGAAGAGCGTAGTCCAGCTGCTGGTTTGAAAGGAGGGATAGTTGGGTCAATGTAAAGAGCTGAAAGCAACAGCGGCGCAGAGAGTTGGAAGAGATATGAATCAAAGAATAATGAATGGAAAGGGGGGGGGGAGGAGGAGGAGGAGGGTTGATGCTCTGCAAGTTTTGTTGGTTTTGGCTGATGCACGAGGAAGAAGCGCGCAGTTGGCCAAAGAAGGGAGGGGGAGAAGGGGGAAAGAGGTGGGTAGAAAAAGGAGTGGGCGACAACCAGGACGCACGACGACCAGAGAAAGAAGGAATGTGAGAAGAAGAAGCGAAGATAAGGAGAGTGAAGTCAAATATTCCACAAAATGTACAGCATGAGAAGAGTAAGAGAGTGTGGATATGAGAGAGAGGACAGAAAATGACGACGAAGGAAGGTGATTATTGAAGAAACGACAGATAGAAGGAGGAGGAGGAGGAGGAGGAGGAGGAAGCGCACCACTTGCTGCTGAAACCCAGGAGTAGAGTAGAGTAGTAGTGTAGTAGTGCTGGCCCGTGGGAATGAGTGGGAGGGAGCGAAAGGGGTTTGGGTTTGACTGAGTTAGTTACGGGCGACAGCGACAAGGCGTGGATCTGGCATGGATCATCTGGCTACTACTAACTTGCGTTGACTCGTTGCTGATGGGCGCGCGCGGGGTTAGCACTTATTAGATTCTGGGCGCGCCGCTATCCCACACAGGAGTGAAGCATATCACTGACATATGCCAGTCGAAAGTCGAAACTCCCCAAAGGTTCAAATCAAACATTATCCTCACCATGGAACCTCTTGGCCTCTTGGCAGGGCAGCAACCATTCCATCGCAGCCTACCAGCCAAATGCCAGCAGCCAATGCCAGCTCTCAGTTCTGGGTAGTGGGACCCGCTAAGATAACCGCCCCCTGGCAACCACAGCGTCAAGGGTCAACCGTCAACCGTCAACCGTCAACCGTGTTTCCTCGACGACTCCGCTCGCTGACTCCTCTTGATTCCTTCCTCCCTCTCTTCTGCAACCGGTCACGTCCACCAGTCAAACCAGTCAAACCAGTCAAACCAGCCAAACCACTCGCAGAAGAGAAGCAACCCCTCCGCTGCAAAAATGCTTCCCGGCCCCTGGGCGGCCCCCGCCATCCTCGCCCCCATTGGACGTTGGCCCTTGTCGCTGTTGTGACTTTTGTCAGGCGCCAGCAATCATGCACAACTTTTCGCGACTTGGGCAAACTCTGCGGAGTTTCAAAAATGCGCCAACGCCTGTGTTGATTGGCCTTGGACGGTTCTAGTTGAACGTGGTTAGAAAAATGCTGAACATGGACAGAAAAGGAAAATCAAAAATTCTAGTCATGTCACTCTAAAATACATAACATAGTACACACTACAATATTCAATACGCACTGGTATATAGTGAGGATGAGAATTACAGAGTAGTTGCTCTCCAGAAGGATAGTGTAGTACACTGAAAAACACTTCTAATTTTTAAAATATTTATTAGAATGTGTATTTTAGATAGAGTTGACTGGCTAGATACCATACCATACCCCTGGACCAACGGGCCTGGCGTGGAGGTTTAATTCCTTGTGCCTGACCACTGACACCATATTCAAACTTTCGTCCCGCCCTTGGCTCGCTTCTTATTACTCTGCCATCCGTACTCCATCCATACTCCGTTGCTCCGTTCCTCCGTAGTTAACGCAAGGGGGCAGGAATGTGTCCGAGCGGTCTTTGCAGCTATGCTATGGCGCTTTTTATTAGTATTAATTAACTATTTATGCTCGATGTTCTGCATCTTCGAGCACGAAAAACAAAACCACAAAAAATAAAACAAACCCTTTTTTTTCTTTTTTTCTTTTTTTCTTTAGGCTCGCTCCCGACCAAAAAAGGAAAAAAGAAAGAAAAAGAGCCACTCAAAAGCCTTTCCACGAATTCAGGCAAAAACGCCTCAACCTAGGTGTCGATCTGCCACGTTGGAAAACAAGCTGGCAGAAAGTCTTATTATCATTATTTTCAAACTCTCCCCACTCCACTCCACTCCACTCTTTTGCCTTTCCTTGAGAGCACTTTCTGCGAGCCTGCGTTGGCCGAGAATTCCTTTCTCCTTTTCGCTCCGAGAAATATCTCTTGTTTGCTGACCTGGTCCAGTCAGCTTTCTTCTGCAGGACGGTAATCTGACTTCCGAATCTAACTTACCTTGGTATGATGATGGCACCGAGCGAAGTGGAAAAGTTTGAGACTAAAAAAAGAAGTTAAAAAGAAAAAAAATTTCATTGTCATCCCCGGGGTCTCATCAAATATTGCTGACCACCTCTCTCTCCTCCTCCTCCTCTTCTTACCTCTGATGCTATAAATATAATGTATATTTATGCATGTTAGCAATGCCTGACATAGTGCCAACCAACAACAACAATAATCACATACATCAAGAAAGACGCAGGAAATCCGTTGGTTTCTTTCCCCTGAGCTACGTCTCTGAACCTCTTTCATCATTTTTCCACCCAACCAACCTCAAAACTCAGGTTAGCGAAACGTAGAATCAGCACTCAACATCCAACATCTCACTGTATTCGGAATTTATATATATATACCTCTCTATAGCTAGATATACCTTCAACCTCCATCTCTCCTCTATACACACTCCTCTCCCCGTGGATCCTCTTCAGAGAAATTCCGCATAAGCTTCTGCTCAATGCTCACCATCAGCCATCACACACACGGCGCTTCACATCACCTGGCGGTGAACCGTGAGACATTTTTTTATCTTTAATTTTTTAATTTTCCGATGTTAAAAGAATTATTCTTTCTCATAGAAAAGTAAAATATGTTTTCAACAACAACAACATCATTGAAGTGATAGGTAGAAAAGATGTTTTTGATTCATTTATATAAAAAATAGTTTTTAGTAAAAGTAATTTAGTCAGTTAAATAATTTAAAAGAATGATAGAAGCCCAAGTTCTCTCTCTCCTCAGCTACTTTGACTGAGCGGGCTGATCTTTGAAACAGGCTAGAATCTCATCTTGAAACACCAACTGTTTCTGTTATAACTACTGATGATCAGTACCCTCTTGCTTGCTTTCACCAGTCACTTTTGAACATTGCTGAAGTCAAACAACATTCATGAGAGAGGGAAGAAGTTGAGAAAAGATTTAATAAAAATAACTAAGAGAGAAGATCTCACACCTTGAAACTGGAGAAAATTATTGAGAATTGAAGTTTCTTGTTCAGTTATCAGTCTGGTAAACTTTTCTTTTATAATTATTAACTTACTATGTATCTAGTATCTACTAATAAGAATAGAAATAAAAATAATCAGAAGTTATATTTTATTATTTATACTTGTCTTTTCTCTGAAAAAATATACAAGACTTTTTAATATCTATATTTATATCTTCACGCATTTTTCAAATAGTGAAAATTTTTACCAAGTATTTTTTTCATAAGAGTATACATACATAACTAACTCAGATAACAAAGCTTAACTAGTTAAAGTTATACACACAGAGTGCTAATGTATACTGAACTGTGTCTTACAAGTTGCATGTTAATATCACTCACATCTTTGTATTTCAGATCTTAACTACATATGCTGTACATTTGAGAACTCTCAGAGTGAACAGAATCTTGAAAAGATGTTGAATATTCAGTTTAAAATATTATTGAAGATATGTATGACAGAGAAATATTATTCTGAGTGATCTATGAATGCAAGACACAGAGAATGTATTGTATACTACATTCTGTCTCATCATCAGTATTATTATTTTTACTGAAAGGAAATATGTCAGTTGATGATAAGATTAAGATGTGTGCATGCATAAAACTTCTTACAGTAACATGTTGCATTTATATACATGTATGATGTATGTACATGTACATTACAATTAAAAACTATCACACAAACAGACACAGACATACACTGTACATATCAAGCTTTAAAATAGACACTTCAAGTCCAGGTGAATGAACATTCATAGAACTTTAGAAAGTAAAGAAGAAATCATACTCATCTCTTCTGTTCTGAATCTTGTTGTTTCTCTCTGATAAGCTAATTGCTAGCAGTCAGCCTGTCTGCACTGATCACTGGGATGATCTACTCAATATACATGTATATGCATGCAGGCCCAGCTCTGGTTCCATGAGAAACACAGTAAATATGTTTTAAAGCTTGGGTCAATCATTTGCCTGGATCATTGCATCATGTTCATTCTATATAGACTTCATTGTGACACAGTTGTTGCTTTGCTTGTCTAGAGCAGTGCAAATGGCGGTAATGTAACATTAGGTACTTGCCAGTATGATAGTTACTTTGCAGCTGGCATAATGGGGGGGGGGGGGGGGGGGAAAAAAAAAAAGAACTGGTTAGATTGTTGAGGGACATGGGATGAATTCAATAATGGAATAAAGATAAGGGCGCTGGAGGTGGTAGGACAAATAAACATTTTGAAAGGACCTGTGTACGGAACAAATAGTGGTTGAGTTGCTATAGCAATTGGCGTTGTTCCAAGGTTCTTTGAAATGCAGTCAAAGGAAGGGAATATTGTGGGAAGTGGTTTATCCAAGAACATAGAAGCAAGAGCTTCAAGAATCTTTTGACTTTTGGCATTGTTCCTTCATTTGGAGTGGAAGAACAATCTAGGAGATGTGCGCGCGCAGAAGATTGAGATGAAAATGTAAAAGAAAAAGGGGCTAATCAAATCGTGTAACTATTTCTTTTCTTTTCATTGCAATCGCAATTTTAAAATTGTATATATCCAGATGAACTCCGTAAAATGCTCCGTGGTAAAGGCAGTAAATAACCCGAGGAAGGGTGATAAAGGAAACAAATTATATATAAAAAAGATCTTAATCCTCATCCATGGATTCCCATCCATCTTGACCCATCTCCCCACCCCCCTCAGCCGCATCGGAATCATCAGAATCACTGTCATTCTGTGATATGCCAATCATCCGTTCCTTAACTTCCTCCCCCGCTGAGGGCCCCAAGCGCGCAGAAAAAGCTCTGCGCACAGCTGCATTCGTAGACGTATCCCAGATCTGCACCACCCCTTTACTCCCCGCAACCGCAAGACGGAAACTAACCTCCTGATCTGGCGCAAACGTTGTGGAGAAGACCTTGCCAACTTCAAGTTTCCGCGAAACAACCATATTGGGTTTATTATCCTGCACGTTCCAGAGCTTGACTTGCTTGTCAGTCGAGCCAGTAACGAGGAAGCCAGGTATAGTTGGGTTGATGTCGAAGGACGAAACGGATGAGTCGTGCGCTTGTAGCATCCATACTGCCTTTGGGTTTTCTGGCTGGGCGGACGCTTGTCGGACGTCGTGGCAGTACACCATCCCGCCGTCGGTGGTGACATAGAAGAAATTGGGATCGTGTGGGTCCCATCGAACGTTCTCGACGTCGCTTTCAACTCGCCATCTAGCAGCCTTCGCGTCTGGGGTTCTCATGTCAGCAGCTACAACGGTCCTATCGTAACTCCCGCTTAAAAGGACTGTTGATTCCTTCGGGTGCCAGTCCAAGGCACAGATTTTATCGGTATGGTTGGTATAAGACTTTGCACATTTGGTTGTATTCAGGTCCCATAGCTTGACAGTCTGATCCGCTGAGGCGGACGCGAGAAGGTTGCGATGCTGTCTGTTAGCTGCCAAAGCAAGGACGGAGTCCACATGGTACTCGTCATTCGCTTTCTTGGGCTTTGTCGTCTTCTTCTTCTTCTTCGTGCCTGCCTCCGAGCTTTCCTCTTGGCCGCCTTGGCCTAGGATGGCATTTGGATACATGCAGTCCACAATATCTAGGTCCCAGATTTCGATATCTGGCTCCATCGTGCCTACTGCGACAAAGTTGCCGTACGTTCTGTTTTCTGAGTTCCTGCCAACGGGTATATCCAACCACTCCAGGCACAATGGGATTGCTGGCAACATGACATCGTGATGTACGTAGAGATTATCTGCCTCGTCTTCGTAGACATAGACTTCCATGTGTGCGACTTCATCTTCCACCTTAGCGGCCAGAAGAAGATTATCCGTGGGTAGAATCTGTAACTCTTCTCTCTCGTCGTCCTCGTCATCGTCAACTCCCTCTGGGACAACTAGATATGGATCCTCCTCGTTAGGTTGGTGGTACGCAAGCGACCTGATATTTCCGAACATGGTGACCTTTTCGCCATCTTCATCTACAGGGTCACTGTCATAATTATCGAGGTCGTATTCCTTCAGATCGTCATCATCGATGCTATCGCCTTTCTTGCCATCACTGCTAGACACAGACATGAGTTAGCAAGCGAACGCGAACCCCTGAGCATTGGGAGAAATGTACCCGTTTGTCTTCTCCTTTCCCTTTCCCTCCCCACTTGACTTTGCAGAATTCTTTTCAACCTCCTCTTCCCCTTCCTTTTCCACTTCCATCTCGTCCTTGCCATTTTTATTCTGCGCTTGTTTTAAATCCATCTTCGCACCCTCGAGCTGAAGCTTCGCGAGCTCCGATATTCGATTGATCTCCTCTTCGTCGATTTCATATTTTTCTGGGAATGGCGCAGCCACACCGCGGCGCACCCATGTAGTTGCTGTTATCATAGACATCTCGCAGGACTTCGAAGCTGAAAATTTACGGGGATGATATTTAAATTATTGCAAGAATATGGCGGGCAGGGGAGAAGGAGGAGCGATGAAAAGCCCTACTTAGCACGCTTGTTTCGAAGGGATAAAACACTTCCTCTTCCTGAAGTTAGTTACAAAATAATAACTCCGGAATAGAGAAAATAAATATCCAAAGAAGAACGTCGCTTACCGCACTCCGCCTTTTGCTGACCCCGAATGGTCGCTCAACTTTTTTTTTTTTTTTACTATGCATGTGCGGGACAAACCGTACTCTCACCGCCTGGCAGAATATTCGGAAGCTTGGCGCTAAAGCCAAATGGACAGTCCGGCGGAGAGAACTGTTCGTCTCAAACCATCAAGCAATGCAACGAACACCTTCCCGCAACTCCGCTAATACCGACGTCTTACTCCTTAATCCATTCGCTGAGAAACCAAATCATTGCCCAAGGCGGCGAGACCCGTTTTATATAAACAAACAAATGCATTCTCACCTCCACACCAAAGATAATACCAGTGCGTTTTCACCCCACCCATCCCATCACATCACATCACCCAATACCATCCCCTCTCCAGGTCAAGTCCAAATTATCCCTAGTGAAGTAACTGACCCATTTCCTCCTTCTTTCCTATGTAGATTGCACGGAGATTATGACCATGCTCGACGAATGCCATGCTCAGGGATTCCTCCACAAAGCGTTTGCCGGGTGCAATGAAATCAAACGAGAGGTAAACCGGTGTCTCGGAGCGGAAAGATATCGGCGCGCTCAAAACAATCGGGATAAGGCGCGGGAGGACCGGAGACGGATTGAGGAGGTATGGAAGAAGGACGATGAGCTGTGAGGAGAAGCATTTTATACTACACCCCTGCCATGGTCCATTGGGAACAGTTGAGGGAGGAGTCGATTTTTCAGGACGAACGACATATCCAGAGCTGGGGGTGTTTTTGGCGTTTGGTCATATGTGATTTGCAATATGTACGCCACTGGTTCCAATCTAATCCTTTCCAAAGATGTATTTATTTGTTGGACTCTCTTCTCCAAGCACGATTGATCGGAAATGCAGGGATATATTCCTGTGTGAATAATCCACCGCCTGTCGCTCTCAGTAATTATTGTATTTATACATGTATATAATATATATACCCTTTAGTCCAAACGGGATTATAAATTTCCACTTTCCAGAATACTGCTATGTAACTCCTCAGGAGGGGTAAGTACGCCGCAATTGAATATTACACATTATAAATCATTTTTATTCCGTCAAACATCACGATTCAACAGGAAGCGACTCCCCAAGTTGCGGCATGCCGGGCTGTTGCTCTTTATCCGGTTTATGGGACTTATGTCTTCTCTTCCTCTTGGTTTTCACTGTCGATCCACCGCCACCACTCGATAGCTCCTTGGTATTTTCATCTTTTGAATCGCGCGTAGGCTGTTGTTCCGCCTCGATAGGTCTTCCATCTTCGTTCTTTTCACCGCCACTGCTACTACTCGGCTTAGCCTTGGGTTTTGGCTTCTTCACACTCAACGGATTTGGGCCTTTAACTCTTTTCTGCTTCTTTTCCTTTGTAGCCACTGATCTATCCTCCTCCTCCCCTTCCTCCGAATCAGCCCTTTTCCTCTTTCCCGGCATCACCTTCGTGATACCAGTCTTCAGTTTCCCCCGCTCAACCCCTTCCCTCACTCCCTCTGACGAATTACTCAGGGGCTCTAATACCATCACAGATCGTTTCACGTATATAATTGGGACGCCAGGTATCTGCCGCGCACCCTTCCGCAGATAATTTGTCGGCGGCTCGGGTGCAGTCGCAGCTATGGATTTCCATTTCTGGGTATGGGAATTAGTAGGTTCGGGGTCTGCCGTGGCCAATATATAATGTTCTTTATTCTTTTTCAATTCTGCATTAGGTGATAATAGAGAAAGAAGACAGTCGACTTCGTCGATGGGTTTGGAGTCTTCGTTATGTGAGCAGTAGCGAAGGGGCAGGATTGTGGGTGGTGGGAGCTGTGGAGGGCGCGCGTTAGGTCGGGCGATTGATTGCTGATATTGTTGGGTGGACGGTGAAGCCATGACGGCCGCGAGGGAACACTTCGTAATAACTAAAGATAGGGAGAACGTTCCGTTGTAAGTATATATTGCTCTCGATGGAGAAAGGGAAGGGAGTAAAAATGAGGATACTTACATGGCTTTACTTTGCCATGTAACGTTCGCTCGAGGGCGGGAACTAGATCCATCTTGAAGGAGTAGACAGCTCTTAGAAAATTCGAATCGACTGTGTGCACATCGGTTAGTCCTTTTCCACGCAGGAATTATCAAAAAGGGGAGGAGGGGGAGGTGCCGACGCGTACCAAGTACCTGGTATGGCTCGCGAAAACCAAATGTGAGCTCATACTGGTGCATGAGCTTGCGATACTTCTTTGACCGTTTTGCCCTCATTGTGATGGTTCAATCTCGGCGTACTGAAAGTTGGTGCTCTGGGAAAACAAGAAGACGAGGTGAACTGCTCAGGTATGAGGCCAATGCGCTCCAGCGATTCTGAATTATTTCCCAACTTGGAAATCTTCGATGCCAAGAAACGGAGGAGAAAAATTTAGGTTGTTACCCTAATCTAGTTTAGCGTAAATTTGGTTCGGCTTTAACCGTTTGTGGATCTCAGCCCTATATCAACTGAAGATATCCAGCCAGCTTGAACAATGCAGAAACTAGAAACTATCAAACACCGTTGACAAGGGAAGAAAACAATATATTACCGACAAAAAGCAAGGCCAGATTGAGGACTAAGGAATTATTGAAACCCCCTGAAAGTCACAAAGCTGGCCAACATCATGAAGGAGAAACAGAAGAAGTTCAAGCAGTAGCAATTAAACTAAACCCACGATCTCTAAAATACTAATTGTGGAAGTCTTCTTACGCCCATGTCCATGTCAACGAGTACGCTAGCTGGCTCGACCTTATGCTGAACGCTGGTTTCTCTTTGTCCGCTGGTTGGCCTAGGCCTTGCTTACTTTTTCTTTGAAACGCGTACAAACTCACAGCCAACCACACACTTTCTTCCAAGAAGCCCGATGGCATTTGGGACGGCCTGGCTTTATGGACGTCGACGTGCTGCTGTTCACTCAATGCCAAGGATTCGAGAACTCGCGATCATGTCGCTGAGACTGCTGAAGTTCGCAAGCAATGAGGCTTCGTCGGACGACCCAGCGGCCGGAAACTCCGGTTGGGCCATTATCCCCCCCTCCCCCCCCAACTTTTCCAAACTGGTTGGCGAAGTCGGCTCCCAAAACCGTATTCACAGGCACGTGCGGCCATTCGCACCTCGCATCAGCTCAGTAGCTTCAAGCAAGCAACGACCTTGGCCCGACGTTATGATGAAGTCCGCATCTTCTCAGAAACGAGCAGGCTGCCGATGCCTCTCATGCTACCAAGGTGTCCTGTCCTCGTCTTGTCGGAAGTGAGAATGTAACCGGGCCCCTTCGACTGTATCGCCTGGACTTGGTTAACAAAGATCCTTGAAACGAATATATCTCTCAATAAAGAGGTCTAGTCTATAGCAATGATTACATTTGATCATCTCTGCACCTAAATTACTTACAAAGAGAAGCCAGGATGCGAAACTCGTCCTACGCAACGAAGCAGGGCAGTCGAGAATTTCTAAATAGGTTATCTAGCTACAAAAAACACCAAGAAGGCAATGGATGGTGGATGATTGTTGTTTGATATATTTTTATAACTCAACTGCACGTTAGCTTCCAAGATATAGATATTAGCGGGATAGGTCCAGGGTTAAATCTGAATTCAGTAAGGCAGATCTACAATTTGCAGCATGTGTTGGAAAGAGAATATCAAAGCCTCCTTGGAACCTTCAACCTCTGGCCTGAAACACTCCTCGAGGAGAATTTAGTTAGATAACTACTCTGCAGTATACCTGAAATCATGTCAGATGAATGAAAATATATCGAGCAAGTCAAAGTCAACGTGACTAACTATTATATCGCTACTCACATAAATCCTAGTTGTATGTTCCAAAAGTTCATAAAGCCTTCTTCAAAAAATGACAGTAACCATAAATACTAGAAATAGCCGCCGTGTGGGCAGGGTAAGTGAATATTCTAAATTAATAATTCATAATAATAAATAATTAAACATTATTGGGGAAAAAAAAAAAGAAAAACTATTTTCCCTTTTTTCTAAGCTATCTCACATAAATCATTCTCATCGTCAAGATACGTCAAATAGAGTATAAAAATAATCACGTCACTCGAGAGGGAGTGAAGGCTTAGTTCCCGGTCCATCAAGATAGAAAAAGAAAAAAAAAAGGCTTAAACCCAATATACGGGTCCTCGTCGTCTCTTTTTTGGGTACGGGACGTGTGGTTGTATATATATTCAATAGCCGCAGACTATGGGGACCTGGGTAGGTCATTCCGATGGAAGCCAAGGACGACCATCAGGGTGATCATTTAGTTAGTTCACCGTTGTACTCCGAGTTGCGTGTTACACAGCCTCGATTTAAATAGCCTGAACATCCAACACGGAGAAAGTCAGCATGATATTAAAGGAATACAAGGCGATGGGGTTAGGATTTACCGAGAAACGGGGCTCGAAAGAGTGGTTGTATCTAACCGGGGATTAACCAACTCTGGGTGGCGGGGGAATAGGGGGTCGTCAACGCCCTTTTGCGTGAGTCCTCTGGGGTTGCAATTCCGTAGTCCGACCATAGTGTTCTTGTATCGAATAGAATACGATACATGACGTGGAAACATTCATTGGTTCCGCTTCATACACCTTCCAATAACCACACTGATATCATCCATCTTGCCTAAACCACTGATTAGCAACGGTCCAACCCCGAAAATTTGTCCATGCGCCCTCCCACGGGGCGTGGGAAAAATAACAACATACCCCCTTCGATAGTCAACCCCTCGTCTATAGCTTTCTCCATGTACGGACTTTCCGCAAACGGATCCTGCGCAATCGCCTTCGCAGCCTGGAGTAAATTTCGGGCAGCATAGACAACCCCACCGTTTCCATCAGCAGGCTGATCGGCAAACATATCGGCATCTTTCTTCTTCCCAGAATCCCACTCCTCCAAACTATCCAGAACCACCTTCATCACCTCATGTTCCCACAAATTATCCACCACGCCGTCCGACACAGCTACGACGAGGTCCTTCTCCTGCAACTCGACCTGTGTCGATTGCGCATTTTCCTTAGGCGTGTCTATGCTATTCGTGCCCAGCTGCATGGGACAATCGAACCAATGCCACTGGCCCTCCGTTTTGAACACGACGCGTTGTTCGCTCGGGCGAATCACCAGCAGCTGGCAATCGCCCAGCGTCGTTACGTGGAGCATCGGCGCGGGCGCGCCTGAATTTGTGGTATAGTGGAGCACAGCCGTAGTGGAGGTTGTGGTGCCCAGCCACTCATTTGGAGTCGTAGTAGCTTCGACGGTCAGTTCGTAGGCGCGTTGTAGGTACGAGACGACATCGGGAGGGGAGTATTCGTTTACGTTGCGCTCGACTTCTAGGGCCCAGAAGTGAAGGATAAGTCGGGACCACAGACTAGAATATATGTATAGATAACAAGGTTAGGCACCTCGCTTCCCTTTTCTTTTTTGCGCTTTCTTTTTCTTTCTTTCTTTCTTTCTTTCTTTCTCTCGTCTCCTTTCTTTTTTGTTTCGCATTACAAAAAAGGAATTGAATTCTTCTTTCTCTTACGCTGCATGACCTTGCGGCTTGGTTGCCCAAGCTCCCACCCCATCATTGACACCCAGGTAGTTCTCCGACACAAGAATTGCATCATCACCATTCGTCAAGCCCCGGATCAGCTCCCCTCTTACGGACGGTCGCTTATCCTGACTTCGAAAGTGGGTTGTCAGAGGGTCGGAAAAGGAGGTAGACGGGTTTGACACGAAGGGCGGCGGGAACGGGCGGGAAGGTCTTTTGGGACACAGGGCGTAGCCAGTTTGGAAGTGGAAGGGAAAGGAAGCGAGAGGAGTGGGCGTGCGGTTTTTAGGAAGAGGTGTCACGACGCCATAGGTGGGTGCGGTAGCTCTGTAGCTGACTAGACTGCGACGGGAGAAGCATGCTGGTGCTGGTGGTGCTCGTCTAGCAGGGGATATGATGGAAGAAGTTATAGAAGAGTAAGAGGAGCGATTGAGGGGGGAAATATTAAGGACCATGCCAGCGCGAGAAAGGAGTTCTGTCGCCTTGGCCACGCGGAGGGAGATGGGTCAGTACATCCTGATATTACTTACTGTTATTATCAGAACCAAAATGAAGAAGAAGGAGGGGAAGAAGAAGAATGTATCGAGAGAGAAAAAGGAGATGAAACGGTTGGAGTGGAGCAGAGCCTGGCTCGCGCTGGTTGCTTCCAAGGCTGGCAGCAAGCAAGTTGGCAGGGAGAGCGATGTGATAAATAGAGCAACCCCCCATACATACCCATACATACCATACCCATACCATACCATACGCCGAGCCTCATCACAATTTATTCATGCTGTCAGGATGATGCCAAGCCACCCTCGTTACGTGGTTGTTGAGTTGGGAAAACTCCGAGACGGCGTTACGTTACCGTTACCAAACATCTCCATCTGTGGACAAACATTTAACAACTACGTTACTACCATTTCCACTTCAGGAGACTTATTATATACATACAGACCTCAACCCAAAATCCATATCACACATCTACAATGCTGGCGTGTTTCCGGATTACATACATGTATATATATATATGCCATGGTGTCGGCGTATCCACTCTCACACCCTTATTTATATATATACAACCAACCCCCCCCCCCCTAGGCCATCCACAGTGGCAAGGCAAGGCAAGGCAAAGCAGCTAGACACACTCCCTGCTCGCCATCCCATGTCTCCTTCCTACGTGACAATGACGTCCAGCGTGCTTTTTTATTGATTCCTATTTTATGCCTGCCCCTCAATGCTTGCATCCATTTCATTGTCACCGGTTGCATTGCGTGGGGGTGTTCTTTATCAATTAGGCAATATTTATTGAACAGAAGCCTGATATTGGGTACAATGAATATGCTATTGTGTATCATTATTATCGTCAGGAAGAAAGAAATAATAAAGAAAAATAGGTAGAGAAGTGAGCTAGCTATTTTTCTGTTGTCTTCTTTTTTTCGAACAAAAAATCAATTGACTTTTAAAGCAACATCTGTTTTCAACAGATAATCCATTTTCAACAGATAATCCATTTTCAACAGATAATCCATTTTCAAACCTCCATATTCCCATATTCCCTAGATTCAATTCCCATTTACATCATAAGTCGTAAAATAAAATCACAGAAGACTAAAATACATTGTGACAACAAAAATGGGCACTTACATCACAACCACCATCCCCATGAAAACCTCCCTCGTCATTGTCATAAAACCCAATAACTCTCTCCCCTACATAGCTCCCATAATCTCCCGATACGCCAGAGCCTCCTGAAGAAAAACTTCCGCACCAGCCTTAACCTCCATATACACCTCAAAAAAGCTCAACACGATCCCTTTCCTGACGCTGCAAAACCCTGCAAACAACGCGCAACCTAACTGCGCACACCGTCTCGAGAAATTCTGCCTCGGATCCAATATCACCACCCCCTGCTGCTCTTGGTATCGCCGTTGCTCGTCTTCATCCCATGCGTCTGATAACATCGGCTGGCCATAATACTGCCCAGCGATCTCAACGTCGCAGATAACGCTCATCCGCGGACTGCATGGGCACGCACGGACGTCTTTGAGTGTGCATTTGCGCGCGCAGGAACAGTGTCCGGAGCAGATGCAGAGTTGATCACGGACGTACTGGCGCAGCGCTCGTTTGCCTTCGGTGCGCCTGTGCTCGCCGACGTAGATGCCGTTGAGAATGGCGTAGGCGGCTTCGCGGTTTGCTTCGGTGCGACGCCGTTCGGGGAGGAGGCGGTGCGCTGATAGTGTTGCGGATGATGATGATGAGGAGGTGGTGCTGGAGGAGGTAACGCTGTTTTGGCGTTTGACTGCCATTGTTGCGGTTGGAGCTGGAGTTGGTCTTCCCATTCCTGTCGCCCCGTGTTCATGGAGGTTATTATTGTTGATGGTATTAACGCTATTCCAGTCGGCTTGTTTTTGGAACCCGAGATATTTCTCTGACAGCATGGCAAGCACCATGTTGGGCGCTCTTTTATAAATAGGGTCCAGACCCGTCCACTCTCTGGCGAAGGGCGAATTGGGGTCCAGGACTACCGTCTCGACATGCCTACGATACTCCCTCACATCAGCAGGACGACAACGTCCCTTGTTCACGTTATTCGCAACATAGGCCTCAACCGCATGCTGGACATAAGCGGCCTTTTTCATGCTGATGATCTCTTGGTCAAGAACACCGCTGATATCCTCTGACGTGAGCAGCCGTTTGCAGGCCTGGAAGATCACGATGACCTGGCCTGGGCCTGGGAGATATCGTTCCACAGCAGATACGGATAGATATTGACTCTGTCCCGTCTGTGCCGTGGAGCTGCTATTCTTGCCGCGGTGTGGTGAGCTCCCACAGAGTTGCAAGTTGGTGATCTCGATGTTGAGCCGTGCATAGACTGCGTAGAATAGATCTTCGATGGTCTGGAGGAGCTGCGCGGTGGAGTCCTGAGCCATCTGGTCCTCGACCTGTTCGATGTGGAATTTTATGCCGCTGGGCGCGTTGTCGAGCTGGAGATGATGAAGGTTAGTCGAAAAAAACAATCATTGTGTGGTGTCTGTCCATCTGAGCATTTCCCTCCTTATGAACTGGGAAACGATACTACATACCTCCACGCCATACGCCATCAAAATGATGAAGACGAACTTGGCAATGCCATAAATCCTGGAATATACTGCTACGATACAGTCATGCCTTTCCCTGGCCTGCTGCAGTGGTTCTCTTTCTCCGTCCCGGTGAGAGCTAGCACGCGCTACGGGCATCTGGACACTTTTTGGTTTCTGCATCATGCTGCTGGAAACTGGAAATCGTTGGGTGGTTAAGATGATGTGGAAAAACGAGAATGGATGGATTCTGATGAGAGTGGAAGCTAGAGTTCGGGATGTAGCGTGTATGAACGATCTATCTAATATTTGTTCGTTCGGTTTGTAGTTTGTGCCTGCGTTCAGTAAGGTACGGAGGGGATGAAGACGAGGACGAGAGGCTTTGTGGGAAGAGGAGTATAAAGAGGGGAAAAGAAAAGAAGGGTAGGAAGGGTAGGAAGGGTAGGAAGGAAGATGGGTCAGGACGGAGAGGGAGGCTGATGTTGAAGAACGAGCAGGCAAGTTGCAGCTGGTACGGAGTTGCTCCTTTGTTTGTTCTCCCCAGCCTCCCTCGACTGTAGTTCTATACCTCTTGCATTCACGCGCTGGCAATTGAGAACGAGGGTTTTTATTTGTCCAGGCTTTCTCCTTAAGTGTATTGAAAAAGGAGAGGCTGGTGGAGGGGAATGAAAAACGGTGAGTGAATATGATTTGGTGGGGATGGTGCGGGATGGGGTGTTATATCTATGGGCAATATACTATTGTGATACGTGCATCGTGTATACGATCTCATTGTTTTATAAGGATAAGCCAACGTTGTGGGGAGGTGGTTGTGATACAATAAAGAAGGAAAAGGTGAACACTCTCATTGAGATATAATCAATGCCCGCCCTCTCATTACATAGACCTCTGAGAGTCGATAATAGCGAGCATGAATTAATAGGCAGTTCAGGCAGAGTCCACATTACATTTTCTCTCCCATTCATACAATGGCATTCACCCATTCTCGATTTCTGAAGGGCTGGGGATGTTAAATCCACTATCCCCGCAGTGGATGTGAATTTGTCTCGAGGCAAACAAAGATGTGGTCAGATTATGGTCATACTGTGAATAGGGAGTTATCCAGGGATAGCACTGCAATTGAGTTCATTGGGTGTTCATGGCGCCTGGTTTGGAGGGAAAGCAAGCAATATCACAGTCAAAGGAAACCGCAGAGAATATATAGTTAAGAGTTAAGAGCTTCTAACAGCCCCTTCGAATAATGTGGCCGCTCAAACGAAGAAATGCGGAAGCGTATTCAGAAACGAGGGACGTTGTTCAGCTTCGAGGTTGATGCTGTGGTTGCTAAAGTACAAATCCACCCATGCTATCATCATATAAATAAATGAATACGGATAGCTGTGCGACATTTGTAGATAGCTAACCTTTCATAAGACACATATCTGACATCTCGCACACGGCCAACTATACCAATCAAATCCACGAGCGGTAATGTTTTCAAAGAGGCATAAAATAAAAAGTAAAATAAAAAATTGCAAACATAGACGGTACGAGGAGCTCTATAAAATATATATATATGTGTATATATCTTTCGTATGATATATTTATGAGAAATTTTGAAATATGGACACAGGAATGTATATATATATGAAAGATATGAAAAAAAGGAGGTAGGAAGGGTTAAAACATAATAGAAAGAAATTCAGGGGAAACAAATTTCAAAACCTAAATGTGGAAGGTGTAAACCTTGCGGATCTCCTCCATGAGAAGATGAACATCCAACACCACAGCTGTTGATTTGGATTCTTGTATCTCCTCAATCTTCTTTTGAACATATCCTCTCCAATTGTTGGGGAGGGCAGAGTAGAAGATGTCAAATACCCACGCATCTGGGGGGGTAGCATCCATCATCTCCAATTTCATGATAGCGGCCCGGAACTTATCAAAGAACATGTGCAGGTTAGTGACCTGCGTGCCACCAAGTGAGGTGAATTCCAGGACTGCCTCACGGTGTAATTGTGTCTTTGGGATGGAGTATTCCTCTTCGATTGCATGCCAGAGGGTATAAGCGATCCAATCCTCATCATATTTGTAAAAATGTGGCCTGACGGCGGCACCCAATGAGTTCGAAATGAATGTGTAGAGCCATCGGTTCCTAGCATCCCAAAAAGGAGCCCATTCAACATCTTGAAGGGGGTTCTGGGCCTGCTGTTTCTCTATTATATTCCAACACTGTGCATCAACTAGTTTCAATTTCATGGAGATGCTCCAGGTGGTGTAGTTGGATGTGCCGGTTAGACTGTTTGGCCTCACAGCATTCTTGACATCTTCCTTGAATTGGGAGATTGCCTTGCCAACACGGCTATCCGGATCATAGAGGTTGTATTCCAACCTTTCACCGAGATTGGGATCCCATGTGGGCGTACGGGCCGTAGAAGTGGTGGGAGGATGATTGTTGACATCCTGAGATTGATTCTTAGAGGATCTCTGTTGACGGAGTTTTTCCAGTTGTAATTCGAGCTCTAGGGCTCTACGCCTCTCCTTCTCCATCTCAAATGTCATCGTAAGATGCTGCATCTGCTGGTCTGATATGGCCTCGCCCGAACGGTAGACACCTGGGTGACCGGTATTCTCATCATGAGAGCCAGCTTCATCAAGCTGTCGGGTAGATCAGTGGGCCGGCCTGACTGTGTCAGGGGCTGTATTCAAACCAGATTCGAATCGGAAGGGTGTTTCGGGAGGTTCATTAATGGAGCTTTCAAATGCTCCAGGAGGATGTCCACTGACAGAGCTTGAGTGTGAAGAATCATCATCACCAGCAACTGACCCAGTGGGTAGGACGCGAGATCGTGAACGTGTGTGAGAGTGAGATCGTGATGGATCCGCCATTTTGATATTCATTTATTGGATCCTTGCCAATATTGTTTTCTTTTTCTTGCTTTTTTTTTTGCAATGTGGTGCATTCCCCGCAAGCTTCTTCTAATGCTGCCGGCGTTGATTTTTCAAACCTTGATTGCCACCCTAATCTCGTAGTGGTTTTGATGTATTTAATCAATTACACACAGTGACGACGCAGATTTCTGTTTCTTCCATTTTAATCTCACCTATTTTGTATGATAGAACTGTGCTTGATTGATTGATTGATTGATTATATCTTTAAGTTGATGTCTGCATCCCGTAAGGGCGCTATGCATTGTTTAAAACTATTCTAAAAAACAGAATGATAATTTGTAGATATATATTATATTATATTAAATTTCTATGAGAAAATAACATATAATTATTAATTTATTAAGCTTTTTAAAATACACAGTCTGTATTTACAAATATATTTATAAATATAAATTATTTTCATATAAAAATTAAATATCTTATAGATTATATATATTTTTAAAAAATTTTATCTTGAAATTCTTATTTATTATTGATTTATTTAAATTTTTAATAAAATTTTATATTTTAAAATACTATTTTTATAATAACTATGTATTATTTATACTTTAAAATTGTAATATAAATAAATTATTATATTAAATTATTTAAATATATTTATATTTAATAAATTATTTTTCAAAATTTAAAATTTCAAGAATTTTCAATATTTTACTTGTAATTTATAAAAAAAATTATAATAAAAAAATAAAGAAATTCTTAAAAATTAAAATATAGAATTCTTATATAAAATAATTTAATATTTAGTAAATTATAATATATTTATATAAGAATTATTATGTTTAATAATATATAATATATATTTCTTAATTTATAATAAAATGTTATATATTTTATTTTACTGTATTTTATTTTCTAATTAAATCTATATTTTAATTAATTTTAACTATATTATAATAATTTTGAATTATATTATACTATAATATAAATCTTGATATTTATAAATTATAAATTAAAAAATTAAAAAAATGAATATTTATTAAGATATTAACATTTAAAGTTAATTGTAATTAATTTACAAAGATGAGTATTAAATGAAAATAAGTATTAGATAGTTAATTATATTAAATATCTTAAGTAAGACTTAGTTGAACTGACTATGTAATTAGACTGGCCGCCGGGATCATGAATTTCATGTTTGATCTCATTTGGTCTGGTCTCATACATTTCTTAGCATGAATCCCGCTGGGACTGGCTATTAAAAAAACATGTAAAGTGACTATATATCAGATCTTAAAATGAAATCATGACTTGAAAAAAATGAGAAAGTGGTCTCATTTGATCCCATTTAGTCTCATTCTTGGCATAAAGTTACTATTTTTAGACATTTTAAGGTTTTTTTTAGACTATTTTTAATTTTTTAAAAAGTAACACTTTTTGATAACACTTAAATGAGATTTAAAGTCATTTAAAGCAATAAAAATAATTTAAATTGAGAAGTAGAAATCATGGTCTCATTTGGAAAATGTGACAAGAGTAGACAGTAAGTCTCACTGAGATAGTATGAGACCACTATCTAATGTTAAAACTGTGTAATGAGATCAGTTAAATTGATAATGAGACTATTAAAAAATCTGGTCCTGATCTCAGACACGGTCACACAGTCAGTCTATATGTAATTATATCTGAGATTAGAACTAGATTTTTTAATAGTCTTATTATCAATTCAACTGATCTCATTACATAATTTTAATATTAAATAGTAGTTTTATACTGTCTCAGTGAACTTACTGTCTACTCTTATTATATTTTTCAAATAAAATCATGATTTTCACTTCTCAATTTAAATTATTTTTATTACTTTAAATAACTTTAAATCTTATTTAAGTATTATTAAAAAAGTATTACTTTTTAAAAAATTAAAAATAGTCTAAAAAAAACCTTAAAATGTCTAAAAATAGTAACTTTATACTAAGAATGAGACTAAATGAAATCAAATAAGATTACTTTCTCATTTTTTTCAAGTCATGATTCTATTTTAAGATCTGATATATAGTCACTTTATATGTTTTTTTAATGATGAGTTTCAGCAGAATTTATAGAATAGTTGAAGGTTGTATTGATAGATCTATCTACAGAAACATAATATAGTGATGAGTTATATAAGATTACTAATCACAACGGCTGTAAGAGTCAACACCTTCTCTTGAGATAACAAGAATCACATACAAAAACACTCAAATCATTAAGATAGTCTGTCAAAATCAAATACAAATGTAAAATTAAACATTCTCAACTTTTATGGCTGTAAGACCTAGTAAAATCATGAATTGTATAAATGTCACAGTATCTAAAGATTTAGTGAGTTCATCTGCTATTATCTGAGTGATGAAAATGTATTCTAAATCAATGACTCTCTGATTCAACTGTCAATATGAAAAATGAAAATGTGTGTCAATGTGCTTACTTCAGACTGTAATGACTGTCATCTTTATAAAATCTATGATATTCTTATTATCAGTAAGAATCTGTATCAGAGATGTAGTGATAAAGTTAAGCTTAATCATGAGATTCTGAATTCATGTTGCCTCACAGATCATCTCACTAAGAGTCATATATTCAGTCTTATTAAAACTTAGAGATACACAAGATTGCTTCACTGAATGTCATGAAATCAGACTATCTGCAAGCTTAAAAACATAGCTGAATATTGATTTTCTATCATTATTCAAGAGACCAGCTCAATCAGAATCTGAGTAGCTGAAGAATAGATAGAAATCATTGAGAAAATTAGAGAGAATAGAAAGATCAGTAGAAATGAAAGAAACAGATCTCTCATACAGACTGTGTCTGTAGAAAATGCTCAGATTCATGATTTCTTTCAAATAATATATAATATATAATAGAGCCTTTCAACATTGAGATGTTGAATTAACATTTCATTGAGTGAGTAGTGAGACAGTATGAGTGATATCAGAATGTGTTTTAACTGCAAGATATTATAAGTAATTCACACTATATTGATATCACTGAATTGTGAAATCAGTCTCTTTCTCAGATATAGAGAAATTATTAATATGAAATTCATTCTTTATTAATATTCTGATAACAGCTGTATCATCAAGATAGAAATCTTTAATAAGATATTTAATATATTGATAATATATTAAATCAATTCTTTTATCTGAATAATTGATCTTCATACTTAAATACTTGATTAGTTAATATAGATTCTTGACTTTTAATTTCTCACTGAGTATACTCACTAGTCAATCAGCATTCTCAGAAGCTTCAGATATGATGTTAAGATCATCAATATAGATTGTTATATAGAAGTAATATCTGAATATATAATACTAGAGTACTGAATTATGAGTACTGACTGTAAATTCAAGATCACTTAACAGAGCTGTTAAGTAATTATATCAGATCTTCACTGCAGAGTTCAGACTGTATAGACTACTCTCAATTATACAGACAAGCATTTTCAGTGAATCTATCTCAAATTCAGTGAATTGTCTCATATAGATCTTCTTAGTGAGATGCTTATAAAGATATATTATTACTATATTTACTTAACAGAGTGTTCAACTGTGTAGTACTACTATTATAAAAAGAATATAATTAACAGTATTAGTAATGACAGAAGTGTAGATCTCTTCTCTAGAATTCTTCTTAAGTCAGTTATTATAAATCACTCAATGTAATTTTCTAAGAATATTATTAGAATCAGTATTCAGATTTACAGATCTATCTTTCTTAAGAAACACTCAACAGTCTGAAGTAATCAGTTCACTTCTTGAGATATCAGATCTAGAAATTAAACTTTATATATTATATCTCTTCAGATTAGTAATCTTGTATTGTATAAACTTCTTTCAATAATCTTCTACTCTTTCTGACTGAGATGTAGCATTCTTGTAGAACTTCAGAAGGTTACTTATAATAAAGCTCAGAGTATATATAGTCAGTGATTTCACAGGCTGCAATTATATAGAATTCAGATTATTAATATTAAGAGTATCTTCATCATTAATCAGATAAATATCAGATTTCAGTTCAATAACATGATTAATGAGTTTCACAGATATAGTAATCAGTTTTTCAGTGATTGAAAATCTTATATCACTACTGATAATAATCTTATCAGATTTGAAATATTATAGACAATATATCAATGTATCACTGAATTCAATGATATGATAGAAATCAGCATGTGAAGAAAGCTTATTCACAGATCACTGAAATTCATGCAAGTGAATAAAAATCTCTGCACTTAATCAGTGAAAATGTCTCATATTCAGCAGAGTATTTGTAAGTACATATCAAGAAATCTTATATGAACTTGAAATCACAGAAGTCTCTACAGTAGAGAATCAAAATTTTGAGTTGTAAAGAACTGTAGATATGAGAGTATTATTAGTTATTATAATCACTGTCTCTAGAACATCTGCTCAGAACTTCTTAGAGAGATTATCTTTCAAAAGAGCAGCTCTAATCTGTTTTATAACAGTATGAATCTCATGTTTGAAAACATTATTCTGATGTGATGAATGTGATGCTGTTGATTCTCATTTGATATTATATGAATTCATAACTGTGTGTATATATGTAAATTCAAAAACATCATCAATATTGATCTGTAGAAAAGCAGGAATTGTATATCTGAGACTACTCATGAATCTGAGTCACAACTCAAAGTATTGAATAGCCTCATTCTTGAACTTTAAAAAATATACTCAATGATAGTGAGTTATATCACAGATGATAAGTATTCAGTATCTGATTCTCTGATGAGACTCTAAGAAGTGATTAGAGAGGTCTTTCAATATATATCTGTCATCTGCAAGGTCAATATGAATCTTCTCAATGAGTTAAATAGATCTAAACATTAGTGTTTTTGAATAATCTTGTATTATATCTATCTTGACACATTTCTTGTAAAAGAACTTAGTCTTAGAATCTTTAATTATAACTTCAGTATAAGAATTCTTAGC